TATGTACTTCAAACTCAGAGAGTACTATTAAACCAATGGTGTGCACTGTGCAATAGTAGTATATCGGTAAGAATATAATCTAACAGCTTGTCATGGAAGCCAAGGAAAACAATTTACTACGGGTATCAAATCCTTGTTATTTAAGAATATAGTTTCGTCCAAGGCACTTTTTGTCCCCAAAAAAATACTAATTTTTTTACCTTTAAATATTCCTTTCCTTTTTATTCATTAGCTAACAACCCTCTTCTCATCGTAATGAGAGCAACTTAGTCATCAAAGGGGCAAAGATTGACGTAACCAGCACAAACCAATACATACATATTTCATAGAGAAGACTTGAAAATTTTGGTGTATTTTCTTATGTGATTTTCTAATTAATAAATAAGATATATAAATGTAGTATACGAGAAAAAATGAATATGCCGTTAAAATAAGTTATGAACAAGAAAATTCATATTAATATTTTACAGCTGACTTTCAATTGTTTTGAGTCCGTTTTTCAATTGTACCGGATTAGTGGAGGAACTATTTTCTGTTTTGCGGGGCATATATTTAGTGTATATATATAACAAATTAGGAAAACATGACACTTCGGTTTTCCCTGGGATATATCCTTATCTTTAATTTCCTTTTTTCAATTATGAAACATTCGTTCAAATTTTTATTGTCTTTTTGTTTTTACATGCAATGTCGTGAAGATTACGGAGCATATTTAAGCGTCATTTTCTTGTTTAATTTTGTCATATTTAAGCATCATGTTCTTTATCTTTGAGCAAATAAATATTAGTCATTTATATCAAGGAGGGATAATTCTATTATGTTGATTAGTTAGAACATATAGAAGAGAACACACATACGATTTAGAATTAAGAGGATAAGGAATCTTCAAAATTCATATCCATATATATAAGAGTCGAGCTGGTGTTAAAAAAAAAAATACATGTACCTATAAAACTTGAACGTACATATCAGTTGAGTTATAAATAAGAAGAAACTTATAGTTTATCGCACTGTGTTAATTTTGTAATTTAATTAGGTAAAAAATACATTCACCTATAAATCTAGGATACACTAGTTGAGCTTTAAATTTTCAAAGTGAGACTTATAAATTTGAGAGGAATATTTATAAATCATCACACATTAACTCATGAGTATCATGTTATACCAGTTGAGTTCTACATTTCAAGAGAATGTATAAATCTTAAAAGTTAACTTGTAAAAGTAATTGGTTAAAATGATATTTTGTATTTTTGCCAACGATATTTTGATATTTTGAAATAATTCAATCCTTTGACTTTATTTACAATTTTTTTGAGCTTATTGATGCTATTTTTTTATAAGGTATTTATTTATAAATTCTGGGATCTTCCCCCCGGGCTTTTCAGTTAAGTAATCGTCAAAATAACGGACGTTTAATAGAAGAAATGTTGCGCTATTTTTAATACTTCACAGGCCACATTATACCCCCTGGTATTTGACTAATCTGGGGAATACAAGAATAACTCCTGCAGTTTTTTTAAGAGAAACTCTGGAATTTTTAAGCGAAACCCCGAGTGAGTGTTAATTTTGCTATCATGCCCGAAATTAACCTCAATGGGTTTAATACTCCTGTGGTGAGAGAAGATATTTTTTGGTATTATTTATAGAATATTGAAAGAAATTTTTTGTATGGATGTATAATTCTACCTTTCATTTAGTATTGTCTTGATTTTATTTACATGAGATATAATGTATGCTGAATAGGATTAAAGTTTAAAAGTTATTAAATCTTAAACGAAAATTAATGAAATTTAATGTTTTTATTGGTCTATATGAAACATATTAAAAGCTACTTATAAATAGGATAAGAGAAGTATTATACTTCCTAATTAATCTTTGTTGCTCTCTTGACAAGTGAGCGAGATCCGTCAGACAAATGGCATACTGGCATTGATCCTCGAAACTAATTTGTTGTTAAAGTGGGGCATTGGTGCAGATCGGGATAAGTCATTAGATTATTCCCATACGCACGTGTATGTGTCTGTGTATAGATGTCTGCACATGCATGCATGGTATATGCAAAAAAAGGGAGGACGATCAACTGGACGTGTCATTATATATTATATATTCAGCCAAAACACTGTAGCGGGATGCGCGCACACTCACACGCGTTACCCAACACAACAACGAAGCATATATCCGTTTTGGAAACGGTTGCGTAGGGTAAGATCAGCGGCCCACTCCCGCTAAGCCAGGGCCGAGCTAAACATGATTACTGTTGTAGCTAGCGGCCACATGTCCTAGCTTGCGCAAAGAAAAATATCACACAAGAAGTTTCACCACGTTTAGCTACTGCCAAAGATTGAGAATTTGAGATCTTATATGACTTCTAGTTCTAATTATAAGACATTATTTATAGTCTACAAATACAGTTTTATAATTAGAACTAGAAATAGTAATAGTTGATTAAAATGATTTAGTGAAATATATGGTTCATATATTTCTCCTCCCAAACAAACAGAATAGAGATTAAATTAAGATGAATACTTATAGATTGAATAAGTGATTTGATTTAGTGCAAATTAAAGGCACGAACATTCCTTTGGCATATATAGCAAGGTGGTTTTACATATGTATAGCAGATGAGATTATTCCTCATATATTTATATAATACATACTGTGGTGAGATTCCATAAATAATAATTGAGCTAAAGATTCCAAACATTGGCGAGGCAAAGTGTCTGACATCAGTGACCCTTACGTAACAACAATATCGAATGAATGCGCCGAAGTTGGACGCTGCCTACTTCAAAAACTTAGAGAGTACTATATTAAACGAATGGTGTGTAATAGATAAGAATATAATATTTTTCTTTTTGTTGAGCAAAAGATAAGAATATAATTTAACAGCTTGTCATGGAAGCCGATGAAATAAATTTGCAGGTTATCAAATCCGTGTTATTTAAGTATACAGTTTTGACACAGTCACTTTGTAGTCACTAGCTCCTGTCTTTCTTATGAAGCCCTTTCCCATAATCTTTAATGTAAAAAAATTTTATCCTAAAAATATTAATTTTTATCTTTAATATTCCTTGCTTTTTTATTCCTTAGCTAACAACCGTCGTATCGTAGTGAGAGCAACTTGGCCATCAAAGAGGCATAAATTAACGCAACCAACACATATCAATACATACATACATATTTCATAGAGAAGACTTGAAAATTTTGGTGTGCTTTCTTGTGCAAGTTTTTTTAGTCAATAAATAAGAGGCGATATGTATGAGAAAAATGTATATGGTGTGTAAATTAATAATAAAATGAGATATACATATATATATGTGTGTGTGCACAAGAAAATGAACAAAATAATATTAGTTTACAGCTGATTTTCATTTTTTTGAGTAGGTTTTAATTGTATTGCAGTAAATATCGAACAAATTATTAGTGGATGAACTATTTTCTGTTTTGAGTGCCCTATTTCCCTTTCTTTTTTTTGTTTTAAGTATACGACAAATTAGGCAAACTTGACCCTTCGGTTTTCCATGGAATACTGTTCTTCTCCTTAGCTTCTTTTCTTTTCAATTATATGAAACATTCGTTCAGATTCCTGTGGTCTTTTTTAAGCCACTTTTTGTTTACCACATCTGCACCAGATACAATGTCTTGAAGGCTACGAAGAGTGTTTTATCCTAATTCCTCACCACCAATGTCACCTCCCCAGGGCTAATTCTATTCTTTATTTTTGGGCAAATATAGTCATTTTCACTACTGAGGGCTGATTCTATTATCTGGTTGTTAGAACTCAGAAAAGAAGACACATGATTTATATATTTACTTGGTTGAGCTATAAGTATATGGACGAAGAAACTTATAATTTATCACACTATTTTAATTTATAATTTAACTAATGTGAAAAATATATTCACCTATAAATCTCGAACACATTAGCTGATGAGCATTAAGTTTTTTAAAAGGGTGACTTATGAATTCTGGAGGAATATTTATAAATCATCACACATTGACTAATTATAAGTAACATATTGTCATGAATTTTTAGAGAGTTTTTTTTTAAAAGAAAATTTTGACTTTTAAATTGTGTGTGAAATTTTTTTTCAGTCAATTAATTAATTATCAAAATAACGGAGGTTTAACGTCGCAGATATTATACCATTTTTAATATTTTCGTGGCCACACACTGACGGATTTACACGTTATTGGGCTTTAATTAAATGAATACGACGCTAGATAATAAGCTGAAGCCTAACTTTTTTTTTTTTCCAAATTAATGGGGCCAAATCATGTTATGTCGCAAGCCTTTAATAGGCCTCATCGCATCTATTCTCACCCCAAATGATTCGTGCTGTACAGAAACCTAGCTACGAATTATATTATATGTGATTATGATGGGTACTTATTTATCATGATCATGATTGTAAAACTGGCAATATTCTCTTCACGGCCGCTGTATGTGTGTGATGCTTATCTTTATCTTTTACTTCTATGTATATAATAAATTTTCTCCGTACAAGATATTTATTTATGATCTTTCGGTGCTTATCACCTTCATCTATTCAAAACTATCTGATATGGATTACGAATATCTAAAGCGTGAATTGATGCCTTTATTAATCATATAGCTTCTTGCCATCATATATATTGACCCAATTCCGCCTGCACGGCTCCATCTTCTTCGATTGGTTGAATTCCCTGTAGGCTTATGCACACATTATATATACACTGCCAAACACAAATATATAAATCTATTAGTGTCCCTTAGATCATAGCTAGAGTAGGATCCTTATGTAATTAACAAGATATAATTAATAGTTTGGTAAAAGAAGGGTAGTCCCATAGACTGTGGGGAGACACGTACAAGATTCCAATACTCTGCAGGATAGGCGAGAATCCTGGCATTAAGAAGGAGGACTTTCAAACTGAAATGGGTCAAGATCCACGACCCGGGATGTGGCTATATAAAGAAGTTCCAGTGTGGCGTAAAACTGTAAAAGAGAGTCAAAAGAATATAAAAGCATATATAGAGTGAGAAGTTAAGGTAAAAATGCCAGTACACATTCCCCTACCCAACCAAGACAGAAACAAGCGCGTGGTGGATGAAAAGGTAGTGAGGGAGATATTGAGAGAAGCGGATGTGAACAATGACAACCATCTGAGCTGGTCGGAGCTGCAGAAAGCACTCAAGAAACTGGGGTCCAAGTTGCCTCCATACAGGGCATGGTGTTGTCTGCAAAACGCAGACGCCAACAACGATGGACGTATCAGCCCCTCCGAAATGGACAACCTCGTTCGTTATATCGTGAATTGGTACAATGCTTAACGCTGATCCATTTCTCTTGTCTCCCTCGGTGAATATGTGTTAGTGGGCCTTATATGGTCCACCAGGGTCATCAGTATCATATCCAGTTATGTGTACGTAACAGCTTCAGCTGTCTCCCTGTACATTTATGTGGCCGCTGCAGCTAGAGCTAGCTGAAGCCGTGCCTAGCTAGCTACATAGGAAATAAACATAAATCCTGTGTGTGTTTGTTGTATCGTGTGTATGTAAGTCTGCTATATATGCAAATAGTTAATATATTAGTATGATGATGTTTTCACTATCACAGAGGTGTTCTCGATCCGTTCTAAACTCATGCATCGTCCTTTCAAGTTCCACAAAACGGTTTGTCTTGCAAAAATTTCAAGATGTACGTTTCTCAACCCACAGAGAGAAAGAGTAAATTAACTGATAGGATGAATGAGACATGTATATACATATGGAACATTTAAGGTCGTCTTTCATGATAGAGCATCATTTCCAAGTCAAATCTCTCTCCACCAGCTTTCACTGAAGCTAGACTGCATCAAAATAATGAAAAAGTAAACTTGAAGACATAAACAGTATTACCTCTAAGTAAACTTGAAGACATAAACAGTATTACCTCTAATTCTAAGTATAAAAGCCAGATAAAAATTTAATTTGATCTCTCAATCTATTTTGATTCTTATATTTATTTATTTTCCTCCAAAGTAGTTCCTATGTTAATTGTACACGTTAAAGGATTTTTTATTCTAATGCATATAATTAATAAGAAGATGTTATGCAAGATATTATAAATAACTAATCCAACTAATATTTTTTAGTATTCGTAAATTAATTAAATAACTTCTATATTAAAGATCGGACATTGGTAAGAAGCAAGAGTAATAAATTTTAGTATATACTAACATTTGACTATTCGATGATCTTACTCTCGTCTCACATTAGAAAATATTGGGTCGTCTGGGATGGGGCGGATCATAATATAATAAGAATCATTAATCAGTAATATGACCAACGATACAACTAAGATTATTTTTATTTTACTGTTTATTTTTGTTTCACGTGTTCTTTAAACCTGACAAAATGATTCGATACAAAGGTCAGGATCACAAACTAAATCCATGATGAACCAACTTATGAACTTGTTTTATGCAGCTGTAGAGGTTCTTTTATGCATTGGGAGTTAGAAGAATAAAATGTCTATACACTAACCAACAAAAAATATTGAAGCTTCTCACGGACGCAGTCGCAGCATCCGTTCTAATAATTAAATAATTAGAAGAGGTAACTTAATGTAAGAAATAAATTAAACATATATTAAAATTCCTTTTCTGTTTTTGAGAGAGAGAGAGAGACTCCATATTTTTTATGAAGATCCAAAGTGAGTAATGGGGCCTGTAAGTATATACTCCTCCGGTTTTAAATATAAGACCTTTATACTAGTGTAAAGGTCCTATACCCGAAAAGTATTGTTATAAAGTTCTTCGTCTTTTGATGAGATATTTATCTTTTTGACCAACCTAACTGGAATCGCGTTCTTAAGAAAATAAGCATGCAGGAAGAAAACCGATTTTCTTAATGGATAACGACACAAAGCAAGTTCAAAGGGGTTCATAGAAAAGAAGAATAACTGCTATTAATCATTCCACCTTTCTTCCTTGCTAATCTTATATTGCTTTGGACGACCCTCGTCTGTCTCTGGTTTCATGTTACAAAATAATAATACTACCTCCAGTCCTAATTATAAGAGCTAGTTGACTAATTTGAGGAGATTAAAAAAATATGTTAAGTTAGTTATTTGTCATAAATAGTGTTTTTTTCTAAAATATCCTTGGTAAACAAGTGTCTTGACTAAAACTATCATTATTAGAAGGACTACTTTGAAAAAAAATGTATAAATATGAGAGACAAAATAGATTGGGATCTTATATTTAAGACCAAAATAGAAGTCAAACAACGTCTTATATTAAGAACCAGAGGTAGTAATAAATTGTTCCAAGACATGCACCACCTCTCCTATGTTATTATGAAGTGTTTCCAATATTTTCATGAATTTATGAAAGCGATCCAAATCTTCCACTTACAATTTACAAGATCACTAATTAAAATTTTAAGGCGAAAATAGAAAATCATTAGATATTTTCACATAACGTCTTATGTATTTTGGACTTAAAAAAACCTTACGGAAGATGCCTGAATGGAAGAGACTTAGGGAGTAAATTACAAAAGGATATAACAAGAGTATCAGAAATATTGATTATTGAGGAGAACAGGTGATAGTACGTGTTGTAGTCTTCTCTATTGTATTTTGTATATGCTCCTCCAAGAGTCCGCGCCTTATAGGTAAGAAGGAAATCATAATGTTCTATTCGGACAAAAGTTCATTTATCCATATCTTGCCATATATTCTATAACTAGATCACCGAATATTTTTAGTTTTATTCTATAATCGTGTAGATCAAGATAGGTAGTTGAATGGTACTGTCATCTGTTATAATTTTTTTAGTATATGTATATATTTCATCCAGGGTGGGATCAATATTTTTATTTGTCCTTAAGGCTTCACCTTTGATCTTGACAAAGTTTATACAAATTAAAATAGATTAATTGAGGAAATTATTATTTTTTAGTTACACTATAAGGGTTTGGACCCTGAACATCACTCTGGTCTCAAGTTGAGCGGACGGGTTCTTCCTATTGACTCTGCCTAATTTTTCATTAATTTGTAGTTACTGGGACTGGAGAGATGATTATATTGTCTTCACTGCTTCTGTCAGGCTTACCTTTCCTTTTCTATAAAATATTTTTTCCATGCCAGATATTTATTGATGATCTTCTGTTCTTCCGCTATTTATTTTGGGAAATAAATTCCCCTTTTTCATTTTTTAGAATAACGTGTCCACCATTACCCATCATCTATTAGGTAATGATTACGAAGAATGTATAAAGCGTGAACTATTGTCTTAATTATTTCAGGGATAAATTAAGTATAGCTTCCCTCTTTCTTTTAACCCGATTATGCCAAGAAGAGAGAAGATCCTGCCCGGCTCCACCTCCTTTGACTCCTTGAATTCGGATCTATCTGGTGCGGATGTAAAATGACGAGTATCTTTTGCCCGTATATTAGCAGTTTAACTAGTGAATTACAACTCTATTGTACCACAATTGGTGCATTGGTCTTTGCAGCCTTAATGCTTTTTGCTGGTTGGTTTCATTATCACAAAACTGCTCCAAAATTGGCTTGGTTCCAAGATGTAGAATCTATGTTGAATCACCATTTAGCGGGGCTACTAGGACTTGGGTCTCTTTCTTGGGCGGGACATCAAGTACATGTATCTTTACCGAACCTTCAATCTTTAATATAATCGCTGAATAATTAATTTATAAAAAATTTAAAAAATTAATTAAATTAGTTATTTGTAATAAATATGTATCATGTTTAATTATTTGTATTAGAGTTACCAATTGGTAAAAACCTCTAACAATTAATCTACAATCAACATGAATACTTAAAAAAAATTATAATTTTTAAAAAATAAAGTAGATTAAAATCTTGTATTTAAAATTAATTCCTGTACTAACCCAGCATTTATATTAAAATCACAGATAATATTATCACAAATCACATAGGAGAAGACAAATAATCTTCATAATTAACTAGCACACGAATTGATGAGTTTGACATTAATTTTACTTCTAATCCGAAAGCGAGCTCATTTCTTCGCCTAGACCCCAAGACTGCATACCCAGCTTTGTAACTAAAGCTGGCTATATAGAGAGAGAGATTTGACCTGAATTGAGAATCAGAATAGTCGCTACTCCAGATAATACGGTATACTATATGAATATGATGATTCAGGCAAAATATTTTCCCCAGAGATAGCAAGAGCGGGATCCCTCATTAACAAGACATAGCATTATAAAAGGATAATCCCAAAGACGGTGGTTGGATGGCTAATAGCGAGCTAAGATGCTAGTATTATGGGATAGGCGAGAATCCTGGCATTATTAATTTAGCACTCTCAGTAGAAAGAAGAAGAAGAATAAGAAGAACAAGAGCCGCCCGTCACATGGATTTCAGGGTATAAAAGGATAAGAAGCAAGGAAAAGGCAAGAAATGGAGAAGAAAGAAGATAGGCAGAAAGCGAAGGCAAAGAAGATAGTACTGTTGAAGATTGATGTATAATACACATATTATGGTTTCATGTTTTAAAAGCCGGACCAGATATTGAGCTGGAGAGACTAGTGGTCCACGATTCTTATGGTTGGACCAGTAATGTAATAATTAAATAAAAAAATAATATTATCTATATGATAATATAAATATAAAAATATTACATGACTTAAGAATGAATATAGCCAAACTGACATGTCACAATATCAGTCCCAACTCTCAACTCTTAAAACAATGATTTTTTTTTAGCACTTAAAACAATGAAATTATTAAAACAAATTTTAATACCATAACTGTGCCCAAAGCAAAAAAGAAATAAGATAATTAAAGAATTTCCTTTTTGCAGAAAGTTGTTACTATTAAAAATAATACTATAACATGTATAGATACACATGTTATTAAGTGGGACATCTAAGCTTAACTAAATCCTAGAAAGCTCTAACAGAAGGTTAACAAACTAAATTTGCGGCTGTCAATACCCTTTAAATATATTATTAATATAGTATAAAATTTTATTTTCCTATATTTTAGCATAAAATAGTTAATTTTTTTTAAAATCATTTTACTGCAACCTATGCGTGTCAGATGGGTTTTTTACCCTCACAAGCAAGGAGTTGGTTTCTTTCCAAGTTCCACTTCCCAAGAGTGCATCGGGTGCTACTCAAAAATCAAAACAGGAGGTGGCCTCCGTAGAACGATAGTTTCGACAACTCTCTTGAAGGCCCAATCTTTCTTCTACTTTTTTTTGCGTTGACAAGTAGTTTTGATCCTATTGTTAGATTTTCTTTTTTCTTTTTAACTTTTGATAAGTTCTTATCTTCTTCTTTTCTCTTCTCTGGTGTTCTTCTCTTCTGCATGTCAAACACAAATCTTGAGTGGATGTGATGAGTTAGATATTACGGACGATTATTTTTTTTTCAAACACTAGTGTAAGACAGTTGGGTTGTTCAGTTTTTACAAAACTATCCCGGCTCACGGGTTAATGTCGGCTTTCGGTCTAAACAGCGTCTGGAAGCAGCTAGAAACAATTCAAATGATAAAACGAGCGAACCAGTTGAAACGAACCACAATGATTACTAGTCGATAGTTGGACCAATTCGACTGTCCGGTCCGATTTGAGTTTTAAATCATTGGACTTTCATCACGCATATGTTTCCTGCGAGCATCTCAGCTTTGTTTTTCAATGTAGAATTGGCACCATATGTGTGTGTGTGACAATACTCCCTCCATCCCTTTCTATAAGTAACAGCTACCATCTCCCTCTTATCTCTAAATATAAGCAACATTTGCAGGTTGTCTTAAATTTTTGTAGTAAATTCTCTATTTTTTCCTCATTAATTATTTATTTTAATGTTCAATATATTTATTATCTTATTTCTCAAATCATGATCTCTCCATCACACATTTTCTTTTTTTTTCATAACTCTCTTTATTATAATAGTTTCTTATTCTCTTTCTTATACTCTGTCTCCCTATAAATAAGGATATTTTAGAGAAAAAACTTTTAATTTTTACACATTTATTGTCTTTAAAGGGATGAAGGGAGTAACTCACTAACTGGGCTATCAGAAAGGAGAAAAATCAACACAAAATATATATGATACTACGTATATAGAGAGAGACGGTGCTAAATTTCTAGAGATGAAAAAGGTGGATTTTTCTAAGAGAAAAAAATTGAAATCCGCCTAAATCTTTCTTTCTTTCAATATTAACTGTACTGTTTTTTTACACCAAATTTATCACAATAAACTAGACATGATTACTGTCGTACCTACCGGCCGCATATCATAGCTTACGTAAAGAAAAATGTCACGGCAACGAGTTTCACCACGTTTAGCCATTGCCAAAGATTAATTGAGAGTTTGAGACCTTATAGTGAAATAGCTGGTTCATATATTTCTCCTCCCAAACAAACAGAATAGAGATTAAATTAAGTTGGATATTTATAGATTGAATGAGTGATAATTTGATTTAGCGTAAACTGAAGGTACGGACATTCCTTTGGCATATATAGCTAGGTGGTTTTACTTACGTAGCAGATGAAACTTATGCCTCATATATTTATATAATACATACTGTGGTGAGACTCCATAAATAATAATTGAGCTAAAGATTCCAAATATTGGTGAGGCAAAGTGTCTGACATCAGTGACACTTACGTAAGAACACTATCGAATAAATGCTCCGAAGTTGGACACTGCCTGCTTCAAAAACTTATACACTATTAAACGAATGGTGTGTAACAGATAGGAATTTTTTTTTTTTTGAGCAAAAGACAAGAATATAATTTAACAGCTTGTCATGGAAGCCGAGGAAATAAATTTACAGGTCATCAAATCCATGTTATTTAAGTATACAGTTTTGACAGAGTCACTTTGTAGCCACTAGCTCCTGTCTTCATTATAAAGCCCTTTGCCATAATCTTTAATATAAAAACTTTTTATCCAAAAAATATTAATTTTTTATCTTTAATATTCCTTGCCTTTTTATTCCTTAACTAACGACCGTCGTATCGTAATGAGAGCAACTTGGCCATCAAAGAGGCAAAAATTAACGTAACCAACACAGATTAATACATACATACATATTTCATAGAGAAGACTTGAAAATTTTGGTGTGTTTTCTTGTGCAAGTTTTTTTAGTTAATAAATAAGAGGCGATATGTATGAGAAAAATATATATGGTGTGCAAGTTAATAATAAAATAAGATATATATGTATATATATGCACAAGAAAACGAACAAAATAATACTACTTTACAGCTGATTTTCAATTTTTTGAGTAAGTTTTAATTGTATTGCAGTAAATATTGAACAAATGATCAGTGGATGAACTATTTTCTGTTTTGAGTGCCATATATTTCTTTGTTTTTTGTAGTATACAACAAATTAGGCGAACTTGAGCCTTCGGTTTTCCATGGAATATTGTTCTTATCTTTAGCTTCTTTTCTTTTCAATTATATATGGAACATTCGTTCAGATTTTTATGGTCTTTTTTTCAGCCACTTTTTGTTTACCACATCTGCACCAGAGACAATGTCTTGAAGATTACGAAGCATATTTTATCCTAATTCCTCACCACCAATGCTCTTTTCACGTCCCCAGGGCTAATTCTATTCCTTATTTTTGGGCAAATATAGTCATTTTCACCAATGAGGGCTGATTCTATTATCCGGTTGTTAGAACTCAGAAAAGAAGACACACGATTTATGAAACGGGGCTAGCGCGCGTACTAAAAAATACATTTACTTAGTTGAGCTATAAGTTTATGAACGAAGAAGCTTATAATTTATCACACTATTTTAATTTGTAATTTAACTAATGTGAAAAATATATTCACCTATAAATCTCGAACACATCAAGCTGAGCATTAAGTTTTTTAAAAGGGTAACTTATGAATTCTGGAGGAATATTTATAAATCATCACACATTGACTAATTATAAGCAACATATTGTCATGAATTTTTAGAGAATTTTTTTAAAGAAAAAGTTTACTTTTAAATTGTTTGTGAATTTTTTGGTCAGTCAATTAATTAATCATCAAAGCAGATATTATACCATTTTTAATACTTTGGGGCCACATTACACCACTTGATACTTAACTCCTTAATGTAGGCAAAAAATTAAAAAAAATCTATTGCCGTTTCTTTTAGAGAACCTCTGCCTTTTTAACGAAGCCCCAGGTGAGTATTGCTTTTGCTTTAATGGCGACAGAAATCAAGTTTCAGGGAGGCACTATAATATTCTACTTACTTCCTTGTAATATAATCTTCATTGCTTTTTTTGACGAGCGATAGCGAGAGTCGTTAGGCAAGTGGCATTATTATTGATCCTCGAAACTACGTAAATCTATTATTATATAATTGTCTTGTCGCCATCTTTGTTGATGCTCCATGGCTGGAGGCCTGGGAATCATGGTCATGATTGTAAAACTGGCAATATTCTCTTGACGTACGGCCGCTGCATGTGTGTGATGCTTAATTATCTATTATCTTTTACTTCTATACATAAAATGAATTTTTCCGCACAAGATATTTATTTATGATCTTTTGCTGCTCATCACCTTCATCTATTCAAAACTATCTGGTATGGATTGCGAATATCTAAAGCGTGAATTGATGCCTCTATTAATCACATAGCTTCTTTCCATGATATATACTGACCCAGTTCCGCCTGCACGGCTCCATCTTCTTCGATTGGTTGAATTCCCCGTAGGCTTAAGCACACATTATATATACACTGCCAAACACAAATATACAAATCTATTAGTGTCTCATAGATCATAGCTAGAGTAGGATCCTCATATAATTAACAAGATATAATTAATATTCCTTCGGTCCTTAATATAGGACCTAATTATTAAGTTAATTTTGATCCTAAAGAGAAGATCTATTTCTTATATTTATTAATTTTTTTCCTAAATTACTCCTGTGAATACTTCTTCAACCATAATCAAATAAGTGAGGGAGGAAGGATATTAAGAAACATGATTATGGTGTTTTAGGAAAAACATGTCATATTTCTTATAATTAACTAACTTACCTAATTTCTTTAATCTAATCAAATTAGTTAAATAGATCTTATATTAAAGACCGAAAGAGTAATTTGATAAAAGAAGGGTAGTCCCAAAGGCTGTGGGGAGACACGTTCAAGATTCTAATACTACAGGATAGGCGAGAATCCTGGCATTAAGAATGAGCACTTTCAGACTGAAATGGGTCAAGATCCACAACCCGGGATGTGGCTATATAAAGAAGTGCGAGTGTGGCGTAAAACTTAGAAGAGAGTCACAAGAATATAAAAGCATATAGAGGCAGCATATATAGAGTGAGAAGTTGAGGTAAAAATGCCAGTGTGCGTTCCCAAACAACAAGTCAACCCCAAACCCGGGGTGGATGAAAGGCTAGTGAGGGAGATATTGAGAGAAGTCGACGTGAACAATGACAACAATCTGAGCTGGTCGGAGCTGCAGAAAGCATTCAATAAACTGGGGTCGAAGTTCCCTCCATACAGGGCCTGGCGTGGTCTGCGAAACGCCGACGCCAACAACGATGGCCTTGTCAGCCCCTCCGAAGTGGACAACCTCGTTCGTTATATCATGAATTGGTACAATGCTTAACGCTGATCCATTTATCGTATCTCCCTCGGTGTATATGTGCTCGCGGCCCTATGTATGGTCCGCCACCACCAGGGTCAGTATCATATCCAGTTATGTGTAGGTAACTCTCTACATATATATAGCCGCTGCAGCTAGAGCTAGCTGAAGCCGTGCCTAGCTAGCTACATAGGAAATAAACATAAATCCTGTGGGTTTGTGTCTCGTGCGTACGCAAGTCTATTACATATATAAATAGTTAATATATTAGAATGATAATTTTGTCACTATCACAGAGGTGTTCTCGATCCGTTCTAAATTCACGCATCGTCCTTTCAAGTTTCACAAAACGGTTTGTCTTGCAAAAATTTCAAGACGTACGTTTCTCAATCCACAGAGAGAAAGAGTAAATAAACTGATAGGATGAATGAGACGTATATATACATATGGAACATTTAAGGTCGTCTTTCATGATAGAGCATCATCTCCGAGTCAAATCTCTCTCCACCAGCTTTCACTGAAGCAATACTGCATCAAAATAATGAAAAAGTAAACTGAGAGGCATAAATAGCACTACTTCTAATTCTAAGTATAAGAGCCCGTTAAAAATTCAATTTGATCTTTCAATCCATTTTGGTTTTCATTTATTTATTTTCTTCCAAAATAGGTCCTGTGTTAATTATACATGTTAAAGGATTTTTATTATAGTTCGCATAATTAATAAAAGGATGTTAAGCAAAATATTATAAATAACTAATCCAACTAATTTTTTTTAGCCTTCACAAATTAATTATATGACTTTTATATTAAAGATGGGAGATTGATAAGAAGCAGGAGTAATAAATGTTAGTAGTATACTAACATTGGACTATTTGATGATCTTACTCCAGTCTGACATTAGAAAATATTGGGTCGACTAGGATGGGGCGGATCATAATATAATAGGAATCATTAATCAGTAATATGACGAATGATACAACTAAAATTATTTTATTTTTACTTTACTGTTTATTTTTGTTTCACGTGTTCTTTAAACCTGACAAAATGATTCGATACAATGGTCAGGATCATAAAATAAATCCATGATGAACCAACTTATGAACTTGTTTAATGCAGCCGTAGAGGTTCTTTTTATGCATTGGAAGTTAATTAGAAGAATAAAATGTCTATACAGTGACCAACCAAAAATATTGAAGCTTCTCACGGACGCAGTCGCAGCATCCGTTCTAATAATTTAATAATTAGAAGAGATAACGTAATGTAAGGAATAAATTAAAAATATATTAAAATTCCTTTCTTTTTCACAGAGAGAGAGAGAGAGAGAGAGAGAGAGATTCCATATTTTTTACGAAGATCCAAAGTGAGTAATGGGGCATGTCAGTATATATTGCTATAAAGTTCTTCGTCTTTTGATGAGATATTTATCTTTTTGACAATATAACTCGAATCGCGTTCTTAATAAAATAAGCATGCAGGAAGAAAACCGATTTTAATTTCTTAATAGATAACGACACAAAAGTAAGTTCAAAGGGGTTCATAGAAAAGAAGAATAACTGCTATTAATTATTCCACCTTTCTTCCTTGCTAATCTTATATTGCTTAAGACGACACTCGTCTGTTTCTGGTTTCATTTTACAAAATAATAATAGTAAATTGTTCCAAGACGTGCGCCACCTCCTATATTACTATGAAGTGTTTCCAATATTTTCATAAATAGGATGTCACATTATTAAATTTATGAAAGAAATACAAATCTTCCACTTACAATTTATAAGATCACTAATTAAAATTTTAAGGCGAAAATAGAAAATCATTAGATATTTTCACATAACATCTTATGTATTTTGGACTTAAAAAACCTTACAGAAGATGCCTGAATGGAAGGAACCTAGGGAGTACTTTACAAAAGCATATAATAAGCGTATCAGGAAGATTGATTATTGAGGAGAACAGGTGATAGTACGTGTTGTATAGCCTTCTCTATTGTATTTTGTATATGTTCCTCCAAGAGTCCGTGCCTGATATGTTTTTTTCCTTTAAAGGAGGAAATCATAATGTTCTGTTCGGACAAAAGTTCATTTATCCATATCTTGCCATATATTCTATAACTAGATCACCGAATATTTTTAGTTTTATTCTATAATCGTGTAGATCAAGATAGGTAGTTGAACGATACTGTCATCTGTTATAATTTTTTTAATATATGTATAAATTTCATCCAGGGTGGGATCAATATTTTTATTTGTCCTTAAGGCTCCACCTTTGATCTTGACAAAGTTTATACAAATTAAAATAGATTAGCTGAGGATTTTTTTTTTAGTTACATCATAAGGGTTTGAGCCTTGAACATCACATCTTATCCTTTTTTTTTTTAATAGGCCTCAAGTTGAGTGGACGGGTCTTCCTATTGAGTCTGCCTAATTTTTCATTAATTTGTAGCGTACTGGAACTGGAGAGATGATTATATGGTTTTCATTGCTTCTGTAATGCCTATCTTTCCCTTTTTATGAAATATTTTTTCCATGCCACATATTTGTTCATCATGGTCTTCCGTTCTTACCCTATTTTTTTGGGGAATAAATTCCCCTTTTTTATTTTTTTACAATAACGTGTCCACCATTCCCCATCATTTATTAGGTAATGATTACATAGAATATATAAAGCGTGAATTGATGTCTTAATTACTTTCAGGGATAAATCAAGTATGGCTTCCTTCTTTCTTATGACCCGATTATGCCCAGAAAAAGAAAAAAGATCCCGCCCGGCTCCACCTGCTTTGACTCCCCCAGTTCGGATCTATCTAGTGCGAATGAAAAGTGGCAATTATCTTTTGCTTGTGTATTAGTAATTTATAACTACCTTTCAATCTTCAATACTACCCTCAGTTCTAATTATAAGAGCTAGTTGACTAATTTGAGGAGATTAAGAAAAGAAGTTAAGTTAGTTATTTGTTAGAAGGACTACTTTGAAAAAAAAATGCATAAATATAAAGACAAAGTGAATTGGAGTCTTATATTTAAGACCAAAATAAAAGTCAAACAAGGTCTTATATTAAGGACCGGAGGTAGTACTAATTTAAAATAATTAAAAAATTAATTAAATTAGTTGTTTGAACATATATTTTATTTAATTACTTGTATTGGAGTTATCCATTAGTAAGAACTCCTTACAATCAATCCTCAATTCACAATCAATATGAATACTTTAAAAGAAAATTATAATTTTACAAAATAAAATAGATTAAAATTTTATATTTAAGATTAAGTCTTAAACCAATCTAGCATTTATATTAAAATCACAGATAATATTATCACAAATCACATAGGAGAAGACAAATAATCTTCATAATTAACTGGCACACGCATTGATGAACTTGACATTAACTTTACTTCTAATCCAAAAGCGAGCCCATTTCTTCGCCTAGACTCTCGAAAAGAAAGGCTGCATAACCGGGTTTGTAACTAACGTTGGCTATATAGAGATAGATTTGATATGAATTGAGAATCAGAATAGTCCGTACTCCAGATAATACAGTATACTATATGAATATGATGATTCAGGCAAAAAATTTTCCCCAGAGATAGCAAGGGTGGGATCCCTCATTAACAAAACGAAGCATTATAAAAGGATAATCCCAAAGACTGTGGTGGGATGCCTAATAGCGAGCTAACATGCTAGGATTATAGGATAGGCAAGAATCCTGGCATTATTAATTTAGCACTCGCAGTAGAAAGAAGAAGAAGAAGAACCGCCCGTCACATAGATTTCAGGGTATAAAAGGATGAGAAGCAAGGAAAATGCAAGAAATTGAGAAGAAAGAAGATAGGAAGAGAGCGAAGGCAAAGCAGTGACTATAATGCCAGTGTATATACCCGTGCACGTAGCCCCACTGGTGGTAGCCCGATCAGTAATGACGGAGAAGCACGTGAGGGAGATCTTAGCAAAAGCGGACACAAACGGCGACGGGTGTCTCACCAAGGATGAGCTCAAGAAAGCTTTGAAAGAAATCGGCTCACGCTGGCCCTGTTTCAGAGCTTACCTTCTTCTCCGAATCGCCGACTCTGATCGCGACAGTCAAATCTCCGGCAAAGCCGAAACGGACAAGCTCGTCGCTTGTATCCTCAGCTGGTACACCCAGAAATACTGATACGCACATCTAGTCTTTTCTTGCGTTTGTTCGTAACTATATGTGTGTGTATTGTCAAGTTCTACGGCAGCTTGCAGCTAACGCTTACGCAGGAATCCACGTAAATCCTGCGTTGTGTCATGTGTGACTGTATCATATTGTCTTTTCCTCCTCTCTGGTTAACCTCTTCTGTAGTTTTATGTGTCGCCGTCTGGTGCTCTTCATGTACATACAACATAACTGTCTTTTGCCCGTTTTTCATCAACTTCCTCTGAACTGAACTCTTTTAACCATTCCTCTTCTCAAGCAAAGGGGGGAAAAAAAAAACAGATTTACATCAATCTTCTTCCTTTTCAAAATGAAGTACTCAACTTAAAGTCTAAATTACCTTTCAGCACTTTAGTTTGAACAATACTAGGCGGCTAGGCGCTAGTATTGATATGTGGGTGTGTGTGTAAGCCAGCTACAGCGATCAGGGAGGGGAAGGCAGAGATTGATATATAGAAGGGAAATAAAGGAAGGAGGGGTGCGATAAACCATAGATATATATTGGATTAAAAATGGGGGTGTTTGCTGTACCGAAAGGGGTAGAGACTGAAGGGCGGGTGAGGGAGATATTGAGAGAAGCAGATGTGAACAAGGACAACAATCTGAGCAAGTATGAGATTAAGAAAGCCCTCAAGAAACTGGGCTCAAAGTCGCCGCCGTTCAGAGCTTGGCGTTGTCTGCAGGAGGCCGACGTCAACCACGACGGAAAAATCAGCCCCTCCGAATTGGACGCCCTAGTTCGTTATCTCATGGATTGGTACAACGCTCACGGTACTCACTAATTACCATCCCGGTCGCTCATATATATTCGGAGGCTCGCTCCTAGCTAGCCCAAGCTCCAGGATCAGCAGAAGAGAGTGATCACTATACATATATACCTATATGAATCTTAGCTTTGTGTATTGCGTCATATATATGCAACTCTGTACACTACGTACTACTGTCAAACCGGCCGGCGTTTCCTAATAAATAATAATATCATCTGTTCAGTGATCTTTCTCAGATGGTTCATGCGCCGCTGGACGTACGTAATGTGCAGTAGTACTGTCGAAGTTTGATATATAATACACTTATGGTTTCGTCATGCATATGTTTCCTGCGTGCGTCTCAGCTCTGTTTTTCAATGTAGTTGGCACCATGCGTGTGTGTGTGATAGTAACTCACTAACTTGGCTATCAAAAAGGAGAAAAATCAACACAAAATATATATGACATTCCTCTAATTCTAAATATAAGACTCTTTTTATAGTGTAAATATATTATATTACCAAAAAAATTTTATATTTAGGTCCGGAGGAGTATATATAGAGAGAGATGGTGCTAAAATTTCGGTAAATTTTCTAACAGGAAACTTGAAATCCACCTAAATCTTTCTTTCTTTCAATATCAACTTTACTATTTTTTTACACCAAATTTATCACAATAAACTAAACACGATTACTGTCGTAGCTACGGGCCACATATCCTAACTTACGTAAAGAAAAATATCACAGCAACAAGTTTCACCACGTTTAGCCATTGCCAAAGATTAATTGAGAGTTTGAGACCTTATAGTGAAATGGCTGGTTCATATATTTCTCCTCCCAAACAAACAGAATAGAGATTAAATTAAGATGAATAGTTATAGATTGAATGAGTGATTTGATTTAGTGTAAATTAAAGGTACGAACATTCCTTTGGCATATATAGCTAGGTGGTTTTACACACGTAGCAGATGAAACTTATTCCTCATATATATATACTGTGGTGAGATTCCATAAATAATAATTGAGCTAAAGATTCCAAATATTGGTCAGGCAAAGTGTCTGACATGAGTGACACTTACGTAACAACAATATCGAATGAATGCGCCGAAGTTGGACACTGCCTACTTCAAAAACTTAGAGAGTACTATATTAAACGAATGGTGTGTAATAGATAAGAATATAATATTTTTCTTTTTGTTGAGCAAAAGATAAGAATATAATTTAACAGCTTGTCATGGAAGCCGATGAAATAAATTTGCAGGTTATCAAATCCGTGTTATTTAAGTATACAGTTTTGACACAGTCACTTTGTAGTCACTAGCTCCTGTCTTTCTTATGAAGCCCTTTCCCATAATCTTTAATGTAAAAAAATTTTATCCTAAAAATATTAATTTTTATCTTTAATATTCCTTGCTTTTTTATTCCTTAGCTAACAACCGTCGTATCGTAGTGAGAGCAACTTGGCCATCAAAGAGGCAAAAATTAACGTAACCAACACAAATCAATATACACATAATATACATATTTCGTAGAGAATACTTGAAAATTTTGGTGTGTTTTCTGGTGCAAGTTTTTTTAGTTAATAAATAAGAAGCGATATGTGTGACTGTGTGAGAAAAACGTATGTGGTGTGTAAATTAATAACAAAGTAGCGTAAGAGGGGTGTGTGTGTGTGCAAGAAAATGAACAAAATTATTTTACAGCTGATTTTCAATTTTTTGAGTCAGTTTTAATTGTGTTGCAGTAAATGCTGAACAAATGATTAGTGGATGAACTATTTTCTGTTTTAAGCCCCATATTTCTTATTCATTTTTCTAGCGTACGACAAATTAGGCAAACTTGACTCTTCGGTTTTCCGTGGGATATTGTTCTTATCTTTAGCTTCCTTTCTTTTCAATTATATGAAACATTCGTTTAGATTTTTATGGTCTTTTGTGAGCCACTTTTTGTTTACCGCATCTGCACCCGGTACAATGTCGTGAAGATTACGAAACATTTTAAGCCTCCTTTTCTTGTTTGATCCTAATTCCTCACCACCAATGCTCTGTTCACGACCCCAGGGCTAATTCTAGTCCTTTTTTTTGGGGCAAATATAGTCATTTTCACTGATGAGGGCTAATTCTATTATTCGGTTGTCAGAAATCAGAAAAGAAGACACGATTTATGAAATGGGGCTAGCGTACTAAAAGATACATTTACTCAATTGAGCTATAAGTTTATGAACGAAGACACTTATAATTTATCACACTATTTTATTTCTAACTTAACTAATGTGAAAAATATACTCACCTATAAATCTCGAACACAAATGCTTTTTAAAAGGGTGACTTATGAATTCTGGAGGAATATTTATAAATCATCACACATTGACTAATTATAAGCAACATATTGTCATAAATTTTTGGAGAATTTTTTTAAAGAAAAAGTTGACTTTTAAATTGTGTGTGTGAATTTTTTTCAGTCAATTAATTAATCATCAAAATAACGGAGGTTTAACCTGGCAGATATTACACCATTTTTAATACTTGGCGGCCACATTACACCACCTGATACTTAACTCTTTAATGTAGGCAAAAAATTAAAAAATATATTGCATGCAGTTTCTTTTAGAGAATCTCTGCCTTTTTAACGAAACCCCAAGCGAGTATTGATTTTGCTTTTTAATGACGACAGAAATTAAGTTTCAGAGAGGTACTATAATATTTTACTTACTTCCTTGTAATATAATCTTCATTGCTTTTTTGACGACCAAGAGCGAGATTCGTTAGACAAGTGGCATTATTATTGATCCTCGAAACTAAGTAAATCTATTGTTCAAAGAGGATGGCCGGTGGTGATCAGAAATGAGTAGAAGAGAATGAATGCTATACTATATAAATGTCTCGTCGCCATCTTTGTTGATGTTCCATGGCTGAAGTCCTGAGAATCAACTGGAAGTGTAGTGATCGGATTTTCCAAAGTAATCATAAAAATGTCTTTGTGCGGACAAATAATTTCTTTTATTCATATCTCACCATATATTCCATAACTGTCCGCTTGGGTGATGATCATAATATTTAGTATTTTCGTAGCCACACACTCACGGATTACATGTTATTAGGCTTAAGCCTAACTTTTTTTTTTCCCCAATTAATGGGGCCAATCAAGTTATGTCGCAAGCCTTTAATAGGTCTCATCGCATCTATTTTCACCCCAAATGATTCGTGCTGTACAGAAACCTAGCTACGAATTATATTATATATGATTATGATGGCTACTTATTTATCATGATCATGATTGTAAAACTGGCAATATTCTCTTCACGGCCACTGTATGTGTGTGATGCTTGTCTTTATCTTTTACTTCTATGTATATAATAAATTTTCTCCGTACAAGATATTTATTTATGATCTTTCGGTGCTCATCACCTTCATCTACTCAAAACTATCTGATATGGATTACGAATATCTAAAGCGTGAATTGATGCCTTTATTAATCATATAGCTTCTTTCCATGATATATATTGACCCAATTCCGTCTGCACGGCTCCATCTTCTTCGATTGGTTGAATTCCATGTAGGCTCATGCACATATTACATATACACTGCCAAACACACATATATAAATCTATTAGTGTCCCATAGATCATAGCTAGAGTAGGATCCTTATATAATTAACAAGATATAACAAATAATTTGATAAAAGAAGGGTTGTCCCAAAGACTGTGGGGAGACACGTACAAGATTCTAATACTACAGGATAGGCGAGAATCCTGGCATTAAGAATGAGCACTTTCAAACTGAAATGGGTCAAGATCCACGACCCGGGATGTGGCTATATAAAGAAGTACCAGTGTGGCGTAAAACTGTAAAAGAGAGTTAAAAGAATATAAAAGCATATATAGAGTGAGAACCTAAGGTAAAAATGCCAGTGCACATTCCCATACCCAAACCCGTGGTGGATGAAAAGCAAGTGAGGAAGATATTGAGAGAAGCGGACGTGAACAATGACAACCATCTGAGCTGGTCGGAGCTGCAGAAAGCACTCAAGAAACTGGGGGCGAGGTTGCCTCCATACAGGGCCTGGCGTTGTCTGCGAAACGCCGACGCCAACAACGATGGACGTATCAGCCCCTCCGAAATGGACAACCTTGTTCGTTATATCATGAATTGGTACAATGCTTAACGCTGATCCATTTCTCGTGTCTCCCTCGGTGTACCTGTGTTCGTGGGCCTACGTATGGTGCACCAGGGTCAGTATCATATCCGGTTATGTGTACGTAACAGCTTCAGCTGTCTCTCTGTACATATATATGGCCGCTGCAGCTAGAGCTAGCTGAAGCCGTGCCTAGCTAGCTACGTAGGAAATAAACATAAATCCTGTGTGTGTTTGTTGTCTCGTGTGTACACAAGTCTACTGTATATATAAATAGTTACTCCTCTCGTACTAAATATAAAACCCTTATACACACTGGTATAAAGGTCTTTTATTTAGGATCGGATGAGTAATATATTAGTATGATAATGTTGTCACTATCACAGAGGTGTCCTCGATCCGTTCCAAATTCATGCATCGTCCTTTCAAGTCTCATAAAACGGTTTGTCTTGCAAAAATTTCAAGACGTATTTCTCAACCCACAGAGAGAAATAGTGAATAAACTGATAGGATGAATTAGACATATATTTACGTATGGAACATTTAAGGTCGTCTTTCACGACAGAGCATCATTTCCAAGTCAAATCTCCCTCCACCAGCTTTCACTGAAGCAAGACTGCATCAAAATCATGAAAAAGTAGACTGGGATATTACCTCTAATCTTGAGCATAAGAGTCAGTTAAAAATTCAATTTAGTCTCTCAATTCATTTTAATTCTGATATTTATTTATTTTCCTCAAAAGTAGTTCCCATATTAATTGTACATGTTAAATATTTTTTACTTTAATACACATAATTAATAAGAGGATGTTATGCAAGATATTATAAATAACTAATCCAATTAATTTTTTTTAGTATTCATTAATTAATTATATAACTTCTATATTAAAGATCGGATAAGAAGCAAGAGTAATAAATGTTAGTATATACTCTTCTGGTCCTTAATATAACACCCATTTAATTAATTTAATTTGATTAAATTAACAAAATTAGGTAAGTTAGTTAATTATAAGAAATGTAACACATTTTTTCTAACATATCATAATCATCTTTCTTAATACCCTATCTTCCTCTTCTACTTGATTACGGTTGAGGGAGTATCCATAGGGGTAATTTAAAAAAAATTAATAAATATGAAAAATGGGTCTTATATTTAGGACCAAAACTAATTTAACAATTAGGTTCTATATTAAGGACCGGAGGAGTACTAACATTTGACTATCTGATGATCTTGCTCCGGTCTCACATTAGAAAATATTGGGTCGTCTGGGATGGGCCGGATCATAATATCATAAGAATCATTATTCAGTAATATGACTAAAATTATTTTATTTTTACTTTACTGTTTATTTTTGTTTCACGTGTTCTTTAAACCTGACAAAATGATTCGATACAATGGTCAGGATCATAAACTAAATCCATGATGAACCAACCTATGAACTTGTTTTATGCAGCCGTAGAGGTTCTTTTCACGCATTGGAAGTTAGAAGAATAAAATGTCTATACACTAACCAGCAAAAAATATTGAAGCTTCTCACGGACGCAGTCGCAGCATCCGTTGTAATAATTTAATAATTAGAAGAGATAACGTAATGTAAGGAATAAATTAAAAATATATTAAAATTCCTTTCTTTTTGAGAGAGAGAGAGAGAGAGAGAGAGAGAGACTCCGTATTTTTTACGAAGATCCAAAGTGAGTAATGGGGCCTGTAAGTATATATTGCTATAAAGTTCTTCGTCTTTTGATGAGATATTTATCTTTTTGACCGATCTAACTCGAATCGCGTTCTTAATAAAATAAGCATGCAGGAAGAAAACCGATTTTCTTAATAGATAACGACACAAAGTAAGTTCAAAGGGGTTCATATAAAAGAGGAATAACTGCTGTTAATTATTCCACCCTTCTTCCTTGTTAATCTTATATTGCTTTAGACGACACTCGTCTGTTTCTGGTTACAAAATAAAAATAGTAAATTGTTCCAAGACGTGCGCCACCTCCTATGTTACTATGAAGTGTTCCAATATATTCATGAATAGGTTGTCACATTATTAAATTTATGAAAGAAATCCAAATCTTCCACTTACGATTTACAAGATCACTAATTAAAATTTTAAGGCGAAAATAGAAAATCATTAGATATTTTCACATAACATCTTATGTATTTTGGACTCAAAAAACCATACAGAAGATGCCTGAATGGAAGGAACCGAGGGAGTACATTACAAAAGGATATAATAAGCGTATCAGGAAGATTGATTATTGAGGAGAACAGTTGATAGTACGTGTTGTATAGCCTTCTCTATTGTATTTTGTATATGTTCCTCCAAGAGTCCGTGCCTGATATGTTTTTTTACTCTAAAGGAGGAAATCATAATGTTCTGTTCGGACAAAAGTTCATTTATCCATATCTTGCCATATATTCTATAACTAGATCACCGAATATTTTAGTTTTATTCTATAATCGTGTAGATCAAGATAGGTAGTTGAACGATACTGTCATCTGTTATAATTTTTTTAATATATGTATATATTTCATCCAGGGTGGGATCAATATTTTTATTTGTCCTTAAGGCTCCACCTTTGATCTTGACAAAGTTTATACAAATTAAAATAGATTAGCTGAGGAAATTTTTTTTTTAGTTACATCATAAGGGTTTGAGCCTTGAACATCACATCTTATCCTTTTTTTTTTTTTTAATAGGCCTCAAGTTGAGTGGACGGGTCCTTCCTATTGAGTCTGCCTAATTTTTCATTAATTTGTAGCGTACTGGAACTGGAGAGATGATTATATGGTTTTCATTGCTTCTGTAATGCCTATCTTTCCCTTTTTATGAAATATTTTTTCCATGCCACATATTTGTTCATCATGGTCTTCCGTTCTTACCCTATTTTTTTGGGGAATAAATTCCCCTTTTTTATTTTTTTACAATAACGTGTCCACCATTCCCCATCATTTATTAGGTAATGATTACATAGAATATATAAAGCGTGAATTGATGTCTTAATTACTTTCAGGGATAAATCAAGTATGGCTTCCTTCTTTCTTATGACCCGATTATGCCCAGAAAAGGCAAAAAGATCCCGCCCGGCTCCACCTGCTTTGACTCCCCCCGTTCGGATCTATCTAGTGCGAATGAAAAATGGCAATTATCTTTTGCTTGTGTATTAGTAATTTATAACTACCTTCAATCTTTAATACTAATTTAAAATAATTAAAAAAATTAATTAAATTAGTTGTTTGTAATAAATATATATCTTATTTAATTATTTGTATTGGAGTTACTCATTAGTAAGAACTCCTTAAAATCAATCCAGATATGAATACTTTAAAAGAAAATTACTAGAATTTTAAAAAATAAAATAGATTAAAATTTTATATTTAAGATTAAGTCTTAAACCAATCTAGCATCTATATTAAAATCAGAGATAATATTATCACTAATAACATGAGAAGACAAATAATCTTCATAATCAACTGACACACGAATTGATGAACTTGACATTAACTTTACTTCTAATCCGAAAGCGAGCTCATTTCTTCGCCTAGACTCTCGAAAAGAAAGGCTGCATAACCAGGTTTGTAACTACAGTTGGCTATATAGAGATAGATTTGATATGAATTGAGAATCAGAATAGTCGGTACTCCAGATAATACAGTATACATGAATATGATGATTCAGGCGAACAATTTTCGCAAGAGATAGCAAGAGTGGGATCCCTCATTAACAAGACATAGCATTATAAAAGGATAATACCAAAGACTGTGGTGGGATGCCCAATAGCGAGCTAACATGCTAGTATTATAGGATAGGCAAGAATCCTGGCATTATTAATTTAGCACTCGCAGTAGAAAGAAGAAGAAGAAGAAGAACCGCCCGTCACATAGATTTCAGGGTATAAAAGGATGAGAAGCAAGGAAAATGCAAGAAATTGAGAAGAAAGAAGATAGCCAGAGAGCGAAGGCAAAGCAGTGACAACAATGCCAGTGTATATACCCGTGCCCGTAGCCCGATCAGTAATGACGGACAAGCAAGTGAGGGAGATCTTAGCAAAAGCTGACAGAAACGGCGACGGTTGTCTCACCAAGGATGAGCTCAAGAAAGCTTTGAAAGCAATCGGCTCACGCTGGCCTTGTTTCAGAGCTTACCTTCTTCTCCGAATCGCCGACTCTGATCGTGACGGTCAAATCTCCGGCAAAGCCGAAACGGACAAGCTCGTCGCTTGTATCCTCAGCTGGTACACCCAGAAATACTGATACGCATATCTAGCCTTTTCTTGCGTTTGTTTGTAACTATATATGTGTGTATTGTCAAGTTCTACGGCAGCTTGCAGCTAATGCTTACGGAGGAATCCACGTAAACCCCGTGTTGTGTCATGTGTAACTGTATCATATTGTCTTTTCCTCCTCTCGGGTTAACCTTTTCCGTAGTTTTATGTGTCGCCGTCTAGTGCTCTTCATGTACATACAACATAACTGTCTTTGGCCCGTTTTTCATCAACTTCCTCTGAACTGAACTCTTTTAACCATTCCTCTTCTCACGGAAAGAATAAAAAAACAAACAAAACAGATTTACATAAATCTTCTTCCTTTTCAAAATGAAGTATTCAACTTGAAGTCTAAATTACCTTTCAGCACTTTAGTTTGAACAATACTAGGCGGCTAGGTGCTATTGTGCTGCGATGGAGTGAGTGCACGGGACCATCTTTGTCCAAAAGAGAACCTGAGACTCGAAAATATTATCAATAAAACATCCATAAAAAATATTTAATACCGCAAGCAAATAAAAATTGAGGCAAATAAAATGGAGAAATATATTGAATGTTTTTCCATATATTACTATCGAGTCATCCAATTTACATACACTCTTGCAGTTTTACAAGCAAATATTCAGGTAGAAGAATCATTCAAATTTACAAATATGTGTGGCGGATTTAGCTTCTTTTCCGGTATATTGGTGCCGGCTTATTTGCTTGGAGGGAAACCAGGCCCTTGCTTTGCACGGAGGCACTTAACGGTTTGTGGTCGGGATCACCAGATTACACTATTCTTCCTTTTAACTCTTTCAAGGGATCACTAAACTATACATGGACACCCAGCCCCTACATGGCATTAGAGGAATATTACGAGTTTTGTGGTCACATGATCACTAGATTACACTATAAATCCCGTAAGTGTTCCATTGGATCACTAAACTATACTATACATGGAAAAAGAACGAGAGCAAAGCCGATATTCACAGCATCAATGAGATAAAAAGTTTATCTCAGTTGGTCAGAGCGGGAAGAAGTGCTCTTCTTTCATAAATTTCCGAGTGACGTAGCATGTTAACAACCCAATAAAGTTGCCACTAGAACTACCTGCGTAACACACCAAAAACAGTATGAATGTGCACACCATTGCAAAATAAGCACTAATGTAACAGAGAAGTAAACGATAATGTTTTACACCAAGCATATCCTTAGACTGGTGAAATGGTCTACAATTAGTTGTGGGCCATTGTGCTTTGTATGAAGTTTCAGTGGTAAATTGCACTGCTGATAACTTATAAATAACATGCCTTTATGTAAATTTCATATTATATATTGGTTATTGATATTGGTTTGATTCTAATTTTGTTGAATCACTCCTTCAAGATAAAGTCACATCAAGCCATCAAGGATATCTTCTTCAAACTTAAGAAAAGCCTCAAACCTTCCATAGTGAAAAAAAAATTTTAAATTGTTTCTCTAAAAAAATTTCTGATCAAAGCATCTGCCGCACACTTGTTGAAAACCAATGAAGAATGTGTGTGTGTGTGTGTGTGTTTAATATAACTAAAATTTCAGACCAAAGATTTAAACAATATATGGGGAACTGAGATTGAAATTTACCCATGTAATTCTACAAGCAATGCAGTCTGTACCTATCGCTAAGCATACAAGATGGTCAAGCAATAAATGCCAGACTGCCCTATCATATATCTACAGCAACAGGAGGCAGCTTCCAGAAATTCCATGAATTGAAGTCCTCCTGTAACCCATGTTCAGCAATAATTGCAACAGAGAATGTGTGAGAAAGAAGTTCACAGTGGAAAAAATCACCTTATTTGCATCTCAAAACTATTAAAAGTAAGAACAGAAAAGTTCTTTCAGAACTAAACCTCCTCAGATAAGCTCGTAGCGGGGAACATTCCATTTACAAGAGCATGAAGTGAAGTATATGATTTTGTATCAAGACGACGGTTTACAGCAACCTCTCCCTGCAAATTTAGACATGAAAGCGAGCTTGACAAACTCAAATACTGCAGGAAGCTTAATATCTCCAAAGCATATGAAACATTTATTTACCTTTGGATTAATGATGAAGATTTTTCCTTTTGGTATTCCAACCTTAAGGTAGCTGATTTCATCAGTGTCCCTATTTCCAAAACCAGCATAAAACGGATTGCCATTTGAAGGGAAAAGTGCCTTGATATCCTGTAGGCATTAAATTGAACTCATCATTAATAACAAGATGACCATACTGAAAATATCAAAACCTCATCATTTTAACGTGTGAAAGCGGCAAACTAACCTCTAAGCATGCAATTTTGAATTCATGTGGAGCCCTTCTGATAACTGGATATGGAAAAGCAGGATCTTAGTCCAAATATTGTACAAGTGAGATCAAGGCATTTTATACGAGGCTTCAAGGAATTTTATTAAGACTACATTGGCTAATACTTTGCATAAGAAAACTCTTAAAACAACTAGTATGAGGTGCAAATCAATGTTCTGAACAACAAAGGAGCCTTCATCACAATTTATAAATGGGGTGTGTGAAAAATGCATGCATCACATGAAAACTAGAATTTTCAAAGATTTGTTTTAATTCCCTAATTCGGAAGAATTAGGTAAAGAAAAGAGAGCACAATTTTTCATATAATCGTGTACTTTTTTTTGTTTTTTTTCTTTGGTTTGGTTGATGTCATCTTTTCAACCCATTCATACTGTTCTCGTACGTTCCTAGTGGCTCTGCAACCTGGTAAAGTACAAAAGTAATATGTCATTTTAGGAAAAACTAAGGCAAGAGAGCCAAAATCCGGATTCTTGTTTTAGGCCTTGCTGACTGCTCCAGACTTACCACTTGAATTCCATCAATGACTTTATGCACATTCCTAGCTTTCCCCCTTCCATAAGAGAGGCCCAAGATACCAAGATATTATTGTGTCTTTTTAGCGCGAGCAATTGTGGTCCTAAAAGAATAAGCAGACTATATACCACGGGGTAACATCTTTCCCATTAAAAAAATAATGGAAGACAAAGCAAAATGTTTAGTTGTTCGGGCATAAATTATAACTCCTAAGGAAATTCAGCCACTTCTTTCCCTTTTCTTCTTCAGGTTTAAATTTCAAGTCTATAGACAAACAAAGAAATTTTTTTACCTACGTAAGAATCTACTAATGATTACACATTAAAAACATGGTCCTCCAACAAGTGATGTGGGAAGATTGTTGTAGACATTATGTGAAAAGAACCCACATAAAAGTAATAACAAAGGCAAACAGAAGTAGAAATGGAAGAATAGCAGATCAGTCACCTTCTCGATATAGGGAGGGAAAAAGCCCATCTGGGGAAATAAGAACAGGACCATCGGGTAAGACTTTTCCATTCTGCATATTGAAAAATAATAGAAAAATTACAAAATTTCAATCATTTAATACTATTTTTAGATTTAGAACTAATCTCTCAATTTTATCATCACCTGCTTGAGGTTGAATAGGAATTGTCTGGTGTGATAGGCCTGAGAAATTGCACGAGCACTAAGAAATAGCAGTTGGTAATCATTTTCCTGAAAATTTGAAACATAGGGGGAAAGCTCAGAAAAAGTGAAAAAAAACATGATCAAAGCATGGTTGTTATGGCCTTGTATGCAGGGTACAGAGATTGCCTCCATCCTAAAACTCACTTTGGTCTATATCTATGTATCAAATAAAACTTATTAGAAGCCATACTACTTGTGAATCATAAACAATGTGGCTTCCCTCTGTACAAAGCATGACACCCAAATTTTAGTCAACTACAAGTGGCGTAAGCATATTTTAAGACCTAATTACACATTATTATCACGCTGTGCAAATATCAAAACACTGACATAGGGACAAGACAAACCAACCTTGATAGCCGAGTATAAATGTGCAACCCCAGTTTGTGACCAATCTACTCCGACCAAAGGCATGAACTGTCCTAGAACATCCGACCTGTAAAATATGAAAAAGCATAGGATATTGGTCCATTATCACATGACGAAGCCGCAGATCGGGTAGCCACCAGTAATTCATGTGGTACATAACCATTATGGTTTTCCCCCAAGACAAGCACGTTTTGAGGATAGCCCCCTTTCATATCAGAGAGAGGGAGGGAGGGAGGGAGGGAGCGATAGGCACCCCTTCCCTGGGCCTAAATCAACTGTTATTGGAACTAAAACCACTTTCATAAATGGGCAACCACTCGGTGGCCAGAATATGTGCCATAAAGTATAGCCGAGAACACCAACTCTTTAAGGGCAGTGCTAAGCCAGAATCTCACATTGGTTGCCATAAGTTCTTGGGGTACTTATGTGGCATGATAATTCCTCCATGCAAGTCAGTTCTCAAGACTGGAGTTTCCATACTTACATAGGTCTCCATCATCACACCATATAGCAGTGTTGAAAACTCCATCACATAAAATGAAAAGAGAAGCAGAAGACCACAATAGACCAAAAAAAAGAAATCCATCTATATTTAAAGTTCTATAACTGCAGTTTCAGGTCATCATAATTCATAACTTCTGCCTTAAACAATTCAGTTATATTTCAAAAGAAAAAAAAAGACACATTTGAATATGATATGAGAACCCTTCATAAGCTTGTCTGCAACTCAAACTTGACCAAGATATTACTCCATAAATATACCATAATGTCATCATATATTGTCATTGAATGACCTATAATGATTATGAAACTGTAGGGTTGCTATTATCAGTCCACTTCTCTATAATTTCTCAAAAACTTCATACAAAAAAGACCCCAAATCTCCTTATAAAAAAGACATATTCTCACCTTGTAATTGTCCCATCCACATCTGAGATCACTATACGGGTGTTCCATTTCCACAAATATATTTGAGCATCAACCTGTAAGTCAAGCATATAAAATCAAATATAAAAGAAATACCAGTAAACGATTTCAAGTAAGGGAAAAAATAAACTACTAAGAGTTAAGATCAATGGAGAAATTGCAACTACTGACCTGTTGCTTCCCCAGCATAGCCGTAGAGAATGTGAAGGTTACTGTATTCCTCCCTTTCTTAAGATTCAAGGATGCCAGCTGTTCAGATGTTGGAGTCTTTGTCTTAACCTTTTTTCTTCTTGGCTTGAGCTCATTATTTTCTGCTTCAGTACCCATTGTACTCTCTGAGGCATTGCCCGAAATAGTGTTTTTGGCATCACTTGGAGCAAGCTGCTCAGCCTTTCCAGATTTTGATCTCCTGAAGGAGAAAGGCCAAAGTCCCCAGTTTCCACCAGGAGAAGGGTTGAGTCTCGATGGATCTCCTGCATGAATTTTCTCAATTTGGTCAACAGGGGTTGCTCCTTTTCATTTCAAACATTTAATAGATTCCCAAAAATATCACCCAAAAAAAAAAAAAAACAATAGTAGCAGCTGTCTCCCATGGATAATAATGACAGCCAATACTGACAGCAAGCCTATTATTGCCTCACAATTTCAAGGCAGAGAGAACAGGAAGTAAACTTGTTAATACCCAATTTTACAGCATCTAACGCTTTGGAAACAGCGTTAGCACTACAGTTGTTTGGAATGAGCTATATGCAAAAAAGGGGCACCAGAATAGGGGCTTCGGGGCCCCTGATGTGACTACTGACAAGTAATTGTTCAAGAAGCATTTTAAAACACAGCAAAAAATGACAAAATCCGTTTACAAGATATACAGTTATTTCCATTTTAAAAGACAGCAGCATGATTTCTACCAAGCTAGAACACTTAAATGTTAGTTATAGGGATGAAATGATTTACTAAATAGGGAGACACAATGGAGCTCTTGCAATGGTAATTTTTACAGGTTCTTGTTCAAGTTGCCTTACCAATGGGAGGATTCAGAACGGTACTCTTGAAGTCTGTAAAGCTTTGGTTCTCCTTGTCACCGAACTCCTCATCCAATAACTGGTTTTCTTTGTCTCCGTCTGATTTTAGACGTTTCAAGTAATTCTTGGGAGGAGATGTCCACTTCAACGATTGGGACTTTGAGTCAAGTGATTGACTTAAAGGATGAGAAACATCATGTTTATTGAGACTGTCACTATGAGAAGACATCTTGGGCAAGGATCCTGTCAGCAGGCTAACTTCCTCCCTAGCATCCTTATTTCTAGGGATAACTATGGGACATGTTTGCCTAAACTCTTGAAGGTCATCTACATGACTTTTTGTGGTTGAGCTTCCCGGAGATAAGTGTGAATCAAAACTTGTATCAACTACCCGGTTCACTTTTTCAATGCTATCCACATATGAAACAGGATGTTTACTTACAAAGTCAGGGGCGTTTGACCCATTACACTGATTGGAGTGTGTATGTCCTTCCTTAGGTGGAGATCTACTTGTGGCATTGCCAATGACATCATTGCCAATAGGAACCTGGGGAGAAGATAACATGCTCGAATCATCATTTTCCTTTTTATTCTCACCCAAGGCTTGGTTATCCAGGCAGCTGTAACAGGAACTTGCTGCAACACAATTTGACTGAACCTCCTCAAGTGAACAAAGTTCTGGATCCAAATTGAAAATCTGAGGATTTGGCATCATTACTGGGTCTTTAGCATTTGCCACACCATTATCACTGAGGCCGGAACGGAAAAAATCTGTGTCTTGAGAATGAAAGTCAGAAGCTTCCGCTGGCATCCCGAAATCAACATTTTTAACGTCTTCCTCACTTGCTGTGACCTATAGAAGAATTTTAACACGTCAGTGTCAACCACATTAGAACATATGAGTTCAACTTTATTATTCCAGTTGATTTATAAAGCTCAATGAAGTTTACTAAAATAAATTTGATTCACTTTTTCTTTTGTTCCGAACTAAAATCTTTGTTGCTATGTTATCTGGCATTAGCTTACCTCAGGAAGGAGGACCGCCGCGGCATGTAAGATTTCAGCCTGCACACAGACTTGTTGACATTCACATCCTCTACTAGCAAGGTAAAACACCTCGTGAGTTTGACCAGTGGAACAATCTGTGCCCATCATCGATCTCTCTGATGTTTTGCAATAAACAAAAGACCCGTCACCATTTGCCGAAAATTCCTCCCCAGAAATTCCAGAAAGTTCTTCTCCACCCAGTTGCTTTTCAAAGTGTGTTTCGGGCTTTAGACATGCAACTTGTAAATCAGAACTTGTGCTATCACATGCAACTTCGTTCTCATGTGGGTTAACTTCAGTATCCTTATCAGCATCAATTATTGTTGATACTTCCGCACTCACCTTGGTTTTCCCTTCTATAAAGCTTTCACCTACAACAAAATTTTCAACTATTTGTCTTGGATGCTTACATATGACTGCTTTATCCTCTCCTCCTCGCCAATTCCTTCAAATTCAGATTTGGAACAATCGATGCCTTCTTGCTCAGAGCAGCAGCAAGCTTCCTCGTTTAATTTACATTGGCCCAACACATTGTCAGTGTTATCGTGCAAAGGCGAGCTCTGCCGAGTTTTTATGCTATTTTTACTAGCTGGTTTACTGCCTGCAAGATTAGTCGACCATTTTAACTCCAACAGGTTAGCTGCAATCTCGGCACGCTCCAATGAATCTACTCTGTTTAGTTCTATTTCCCTGCGAATCCCACTATCGCCCTTCATCGACCTTCGATTAAATACAAAACCAAGCAGCCGTGATCGACGAGAATTAGTCCTGGCCAATAGTTTACCGTTGTTTATATCAACATGAGCAACAGCAATTGACTTGTCAGTCTCGAAATTACAACTTTCAGACTTCAAAGGGCGCTTATTATCCTGCTGTCGACTATCTGTCTCATCGCTTGAAGATGATGGATGTAATATAGATTCTCCATCTTCGGCATCTATTTCGCTGATCAAGAATGCTTCTCCTTTGTGATCCAAATACATGTGAAAATCAGCTTCCGCTCCATTAACGGTAATGTTGACCATTCTCTCCTTTGCCTTTAAAACACCTTGAAATTTCCCAAATCGGACGTACCACGGCGACGATTTGAAGCTCCCATCTTGCTGCTCAACTACAACAATATCCACAGCGCCGCCAAAAGGATGAAAAGGGCCGGAAACGGTGTTCACGCTCCGACTAATGTAGCTGCCCAGCCTCCCCATTGCTTGCATCCTCTTTTAAATTACTCTAATCTGGAGAACTCAATTTAGGATAATCTTAATTGCGCTCCACTAAATCGTCTTCGCTTAAGACGATTGATTACATTCGAAACAGCCCAGTCAGAAAACTCAAAACATCAAAGCAGATAACCCATAATTTTAAGACCCCATCTATGAGAATGAAAGTACAACTCGTCCATTCTTTATGCCGAAATATCAGAGGCACAAATAGGAAGAAATCGTCAGTTATATCAATAGATTGCCTCAAGACGTCGATCGAGGAATGTCTGGTTACTCAGATGAAGAAAAATCCAGAAAGAAAGATAATACTATCAGAATATATAGTGCAAGAGATAAAAACCGCAATTAGATGCTCTCGGTTGCGGCTGGCAGAGACAGAGTGACAGAAAAATTGGTTAAGGAATCACCCACCCACGGTTAACAGTGAATGACGCAAATTGGAAGCATATTCGCTGCGGACCAAATGGAAGGTGCCAAACCAACCATCATCATTAAATTAAAATCAATAATCAATAATTCATTTAAACGGTCAAGCCACTGCGCAATCGAACACGAAAATCGAATTTGGCGACGGACGCGAAATCGATGATTTCAAGGAAGTAAGGAAACCGACATGAAGAAGATCAGGGCCCGGTCAGAAGATGCCAGATTGGATAGCTGGGGCCCATCTAAGAGAAAGCTTAGCGGAAAGCCATACGGCTCTTCCTGCAAGTGCAAGTAGTGCAATTTTCGCTTGATATTACAAAATTCAATGGGAATTTGTACAGAGCGTGGTTTCCGTGGATTCAAAGCTCAAACCCGCCAGTTCCTGCCTTCCTTGGCAGAAGCACAGATTGCTTCTAGATGTTTTCCTTTCTCTGAGAACTTTTCTAAAATAAATAAATTAATTTGACAACAGGATCAAATAACATTGGACAATTCTGTTATTGAAAGATGAATATAGTACTATAAATCAATACGCGATATATGCTGAACAACTCAATTGTTTCATAAAATTGGACGGAGCCCCGTCTAATCAGTAATCATTAGCAGTGACTAGTGAAATCCGAGCTAGTTTGCGTAACTTAGGAGCGCGGATCGTGTTGTCGTCTGGTGTGAGCGACAGGGACATTGAAAGTGTTCCGACTCGAAATTCACTCCAATTAATTTTTATCATGGCTAATTGTCTCCTTCTAAAAAATCATTTGAGTCCTCAAGGGTGCGATTTGACGAAGAATTGATACGCTGAAATTGACCCCTACATGTCATATGATGGCAATGACTCTAGCGTTAAAATTGGCCCAAAATGACTACAGTGTTGGACATTTTTAAAGTTCCTTGTTTAATGTAAAAATGAAAATAAAACTGGAATTTTGATTTTTTTTTAATTATAAAGCTCAAGGAATTAAAACTTACAAATTATTTTTAAATTTTATAAATAATAATAATTATTTATATTTTTTGTACAAATTTATACTGCCTCCGGTCCTAATTATAAGAATTAGTTGACTAATTTGAGGAGATTAAAGATATAAGTTAAGTTAGTTATTTGTAATGAATGGGTGTTGTGTTTCCTAAAATATTCTTGCTAATCAAATGTATTAACTAGAACTATCATTATTAGAAGGATTTCTTTAGGAAAAATGTATAAATATGATAGACAAATGGATTAAATGTTATATTTATGACTAAAATAAAAATTAAACAAGATTTTATATTTAAAACCGGAAGTAATATTTTAAAATAAGGAATAGAAAATACAACTGTTAGATCATCGAAGTGTGATTATGATTGGGCCAATCAAAGAACAAGAGCGTGGCCACCTGTTCGCATAGGAGCCTAACACAACCCATCAGACACGCGTCGGATCTGTGGGGTGGCCCCACTTTACACCCCCATGTTGATGATAATTTTACTTGCTCTTTTTTGGCCAACAATTTTTCTTCCTCATGGACTCTAGTCTCCATGAGCAATGAATTCTGAATAATTCATTCCACCTCCGTAATTAAACAGGCTGGTCACGACGAGGAATCAGTCCTACTCGGTCCTTTTGAGTCGGTTCAAGTCTTTTTTCTTTTTCCAAAAAAAGAGAGTCATGTCAGGTCAGGGCAGATCCTGGAATATTTTAAGGGAATTGTTTCAGACTATGGTGATTATTTTTTTATCAACAAAGGAAATGAATTTTTAATATTTTCATTTTTTTTTTCACCAGACTAAACTATGTCCTTTGTAGTTCGGGCTGACCTGATAGATGTTTTGGTTGGACACCAGGCAGGGTAAAACCTAGCCTTCACTGGGAACATCTCTATTCGAAGAAAAGATCGGTGTGAGTTGTAACCCAGAGTTTTTAGTGCCGATTAGAGCTGGAAATCAGGGCCGGTTCGGTCCTTCAAGGGCTGATGGGTTTAAAAGGACCGGCCCTCCAGGGCTGAAGTTTTTAAAAATACCCTAATTTGCTAGGCCTAACTCTTAAGCCACAGAGCTCAAGACCGACCTGTGGACTTTTGGCCCTTTTGAGAAAAAAAAAACTACTTTTTATATTTATCATAACTTTTATAAAAAAAATAAAAATAAACCAATAAATTATTAAAAAAAGACATAAATATGAATAAAATTAAGTCACAAATATAAAATATCATCATATATAAATATCCATCAACATCCAAGAATATCTAAAACATTTATTAACAAAATAACAACATCCAAAAGTTTTATCTATAGTGCAATTGTGCAATAAATAAACACTATCATTAATCTTTTGAAACTTTATCATCACTATAATTAATTATTCTTCTTCATGAGTATGCTTTTCTTTCGTAACAAAAATATTAAGTTTTTTTCTTATATAGGAATTTTACTTTTAAATTGTACAATCTAGCTATTATTTTACTTTAATGTGAGAAATATTGTTGTTGAAACTCATGAATTTCTAATTCAAATTATAGAATCACAGTTATATAAGTATAAAAATACTTTATTATCAAATATATATAGTTAAAAATATCAACAGCATATAAATAACAAATCATTATTAAAGTCCAAATTAATACGTTTTTTAAAAATTTAATTGGATAAATTATTGTCTAACACTAAATTTAATTTTAAAATGATAATAATAACTAAATATTTGAAATATTATTAACAATGTAAACAATTAATAATATTGGAATTATATAAAATTTAAAAAACAAAAAAATTATAAAAAGGCTTAAAAGGGCCAGCCGCTGCGGGCCGACCCTTTTAAGCTCTCGCGCCCTCCAGGGTCAGTCCTCCAGAACTTATTTTCCATTTGAAGAGAAAAATATCAAGCCTGACCCTCATAATTTCAGAGGGCCTAAACGGGCCAGCCCGACGGGCTCGGCCTTTTCTCGGCTCTAGTGCCGATTTGGCTTTTAGTAATAGGAATTATCTTGAACTTGATTATTATGAGAAGAACATGGAGGTCTTGAAAAGAATAAATTGTTGGTTTTCCTCTAATTTGTTTTATTGAAATTCTTATAAAAAAAAAAAAAAGTTGAGTGAAACTACATAAATTTTATACTTCTCCGATCCTTAATATAAGATACATTTAACTAATTTGATTAGATTAAGGAAGTTAGGTAAGTTAGTTAATTATAAGAAATGTGACACGTTTTTCCTAAAATACCATAATCATCTTTCTTAATACCCTCTCTTCCTCTTCTACTTGATTATGGTTGAGGGAGTATCCATAAGGGTAATTTAAAAAAAATTGATAAATATGAGAAATGAGTCTTATATTTAGACTAAAACCAACTTAATAATTGGGTCCTATATTAAAGATCGAAAGAGTAAGTAATTTTTTAATTGATTTTCTGTATCATTTGCTTCACGTGCATGCGTGTAGAACTGGGGTTTCTCTTCTGGTCAAAAGGAACGAAGAGGGGAAAATTTTACCATTGGATTTAGGCCTATTTGGAATAAATGCAGCGGCATCCTTGACATTTCTGGCATCTCCTAGGGCCCATTTAGAATTATTAATAAGTAATTTTTTTACTCATAATTTACAAAATACAAAGCAAACATATGAGATGAGTTTTGTCTCGATTTAGATAAAATATATTTATAAATAATTTTAAATATGATGGCAAATAATACCATAGTTGGTGCACTTTCGACTTCCCTTCGTCTTTTCTTCCATGGTAAAAAAAAAAAGAGAATTACAATGAGTCTAAAAAAAATAATTATACATAAATATCAATGACAAATTAGCAGTTTTTATTTACTACTCTAAAATTTGTTATTGCAAATAATTTTGTTGTTATTGAGTTTTTCAGTAATTATGTTCCTTACCTAGGAGTCTAGGACTATATTGCAATTCTCTTAAAAAAAAAAAAAGCTTCTGCCTGCTTTCACGTTCCTTCTTCATCACCACCACGTGTGGGGGCTCCATCTCAAATTATTTGATCATTTTTCTACTTCACTTCTCCTCGTTTGGAATCATCTGTAAAGGTTTGGGGGGGGGGTGGGGAAGGGGAATCATCTATCAAGAGTTTGATCCCCTGTGATTTTACAGATCAAGCCATTTTTTCAATTAAAGAAGAAGTTTTTAATTGACAAAAAAAGCATCAATGACATGAGATTACAAATAAAATTGAAACTATGATATTTCATTTACTGAACGCCTTTACTCCACTAGATTTTGGTATTACGTACAAATGCGTTTGGTTATCCTAAAAACACTTTGCAGAAATGTTTTTATACAAATCAAAACAAAATTTTTCTCACATATTTATTTCGAAGATATTTAGATGAATGAAAAACATTTTTTAAAAATATTTTTATATAAATTAAAAATAAAATTTTTCTCATATATTTATTTTATATATTATAAATAAAATCATGTTTCTGTTTAAACAGCCTACTCTGCTGTAAAATCACTTCTAACAATCTATGGTTTCGTTTTGACGCAACATGTGGCATGATGAACATGGTCAAGCCCTTTACATTTCACTGACAGTTGTAGCCTTGCCCTTAAGGCCATGATGGATCTTATAATTCTGACACGATTGTGACAGGAGAGAACCCATCATTTTTCGCAAACCAAATCCATCGTATCTGCTTCCAATGTGTTCGATAGGGTTTCAATGACAGAAAAACAGCCCCACGAGGAAAATAGTAGTATGATGAAAATCAAATTAAAAAATTAGCCTAACCCAAAAGATGTACTGAATTTGCAGGAGAATACCAGAGCTATCTTGGGCTTAATTCCTGACGCATGTCTGACTGCCATATGTTCGTTCAATCTTATGTCAGAATTTCCTGGTATCAGTACGGTAAGGGTGGAAAAATAGAAAACTCTGCCTTATCAAAGAAAGTAATTAGTGCAAACCGAATGGACAAAAAAGAGATACTGTTATTGCAGGGCTGGAAAAGGCAAATTATAATTCTTGGTTATCCGAGTACCCCAGTTGCTGATTAAGGGCATGAGTCCAACAGAACAAGTTTTTTTGTCCTTAATTACTATCTCCTCTCTTAATTATAAGATTTTATTTATAAACAATCAAGGAGTGATATTGGCTGATTGTGAAGATGTGAAAACAATAATATAAAAAGTAAATACAAGTACGACATCTTCGTCCCTCAGCATTTGAGTTTCTCTTCTTTTGCAATTGAGTTTTTGCAGTGAGCAATTGCAGCTTGAATGGCAGCCTGCAACTCTTCCATGGTACTATCATTAGCAGGAGGAAGAGTCATAGTAGGAAGGAGGAGGCCACTATTACTTGGAGATGTCCTTATTGATGCTGGTGCTGAATATTCTCCTCTTCTTCCTCTTAATTCTGCCTTATTTCTGACGCTAAAATTTTCTGAATACGAATAACTCTGTCGACGGACTCTAATTCTCTGTCTTCTCCCTGTAAAACTCGACATTAATGGTTGCACCATTCTTAAGTACCTTTTCAACACATGGACAACCTGAAACTTCTGTTTCTTTTTCTGCTTCTCTGTATCTTCTTCCTTTTCTCTGACTTCACACCCTTTTCGCCCTCTTAACCGGAACAATGAGAAAGACTTGGACTTGCCTCTTCCTTCTTCTTCCTTTGTTCTTCCATTGTTGTCACTGTTGACTTCTTCATAGTTGTCCAGGGCCATGTTGCTTCCACAGAGATCTTCCTTGCTGGGTATTTCATCCTGTATTAATTCTGTGATGGGGAGGGTGAAACTGTCCATGGAATTGGTGGAAGAACGAGGAGAAACAGAGAGGTGGGAAAGGAAGTGAAGAGGAAGCAAGTGGCCATGGAAGAAAATGTCATCAGCAGGAGATAAATCAAGTGCAGATGAATTAGGTGAAGTTGTAGATTTATGAGTACTAGTAGGGTTTGTAGTTGAGGAAGACGAGTATAGAGAGACAGAGAAGGAAAATTCGTGAGAAGGAGAGGAGGATGCAGAAACAGGAGATTCTGTAGATGATGATTGCTTTGCTGATTGGCCTTCAATTATCTTTTCCACATCGTTTTCTGTGTAATTTTGTTGCTGATGCTTTTCCATGACAAAAATTTTCCCTCCTAACACAAACAAGATTTGATGCAGTGCCTGAACTCCTCGCTCTACAATCTTTCCTGTTTTTCTTTTTGGTAGGAGAGATTCTCTTTTTCTTGATGTATGGAGACTAACCAAGCTTTGGGAGGGATAAAGGGATTGGAAAAGCAGAGGAAGAGAGAGAGAGAGAGAACAAACAAGAGAGTCTTTGTCAAACCAGAAGCGGACTTGGAATGTCTCGCTTGAATATCTTCATTCAGAAGAAAACTTACCTGCGTACATTATTTTAGATTTTAGGAAGCATTATCGTCGAGTTGTTTTTTCATACTTTGTTACTACCACCACTATCCACACGGATGATTGGTGGTGACCCTAAAGCTAGAGTAAAATAAATACACAACACTTTGGTGTGTCAAAAAGAGTTGTTGCTTTGGTAGGTCCAGGTCAAGTCGTACACAGCAAATGCCGGTACTGATTTTGGAAATGAGGTAAGAAAAATCCAAACTTGGCCACCAAAGGAAGATGGGATTGGCACGGCGGACTGCACTTTAGAAAATGTGTCTTTATTTTGGAGTAGTTTATGCAAAAGGGAGGGGTCCCCAGTGAAAGAATTAAGCTGCCACGAGCATAATGATGGGAGAAAAAAAAATTGGAATCTTTGAATTCATATACAGCTGCGGAGAAATTATCTGCTTCTTTCGTTGTCATTGGGTTCGTTCCTCGTGTGCATTCAAAAAGCAAAATGATCGGCCAACGTTGCTACTTAGTGATTAATTAATTAATTAATCAGTTTAAGACAAAGTTGGGTTTTACGTCAACCAGAAAAAAGGCCTTCGACTTTTGGCGTTGAAAATGATGCCACTAATTAACTTTTTTGAGTTGGATGAGATGGATGATCATATCTTAAATGTCAATCTAATGGAACGCCACATTCAAAGCAAGTTGCGATGCGATTATTGGTCCAGCAGGTTCTCGTGAATGATAGGGCTCGTAGGAAGACAAACTACTTATTTATTTATAAATGCAACTAAGGATGATAGAAGAAGAATCCAATCCTAAGAGACTAACCTAGAACTCATATAAATCATACTCTTCCAATTTTAAATATAAGATCCTTATACACACTAATATAAATGTTTTATATTTAGGGCCGGAAAAGTATCACATTTGTAAGATTTCTCAATATAAAACTCATGACAGATCATGAGCGTTTAGATTGTTACAGTGGTAGAATTGATTAATGAAGAAGAAAAGTGGAATGAAGGAGGAGGAGAGAGGACAGGGGGGTGAGTCCAAAAGCAAAGATTGATCGGAATCGATGCGCAGAGAGAGGAGACCCACACGCACGTGTATAAGCTTAAGGTGGTCCATCCAACGTATAAAGGAATTTTGCAGTGTTGGTTAGCCTCTCCATTTCTGCATCAATCATCATGCATGCATTATGTGGTTGGATTCACTGCCTCATCTTCATCCATCCTCGTTTTGTTCTTTTCTTTCTCAATCAACGCCCGCTGATTTCAATGTTTATTGGGTTTTTTATTTTTCCCTTATAGGAGGATATCGAACTCACAATCTTGTCTACGAGAAGAAATATGAGGTGTCATGTGAACTATAAGTTACTAATATACGTAAATAATTTCATGAATAATCTATCACTAAAAACGTGTCTGTGTAATATAATACGTAACAATTGTTGTGCTATATGATACTCCTCCTCCGGTCCTTAATGTAAGACCCATTTAACTAATTTGATTAGATTAAGAAAGTTAGGTAAGTTAGTTAATTATAAGAAATGAAACACATTTTTCCTAAAACACCATAATCATCTTTCTTAATACCCTATTTCCTTCTTCTACTTGGTTATGGTTGAGGAGTATCTATAGGGGTAATTTAGAGAAAATTGATAAATATAAAAAATGGGTCCTATATTTAGGACGAAAACTAACTCAACAATTGGATCCTATATTAAGGACCGGAGGAGTATGATATATTTTGAACCATATATATCCACCTCACAGTTACAGTTGTCTATATCAAATATCAGATATCTGAAGATTAAAAAGAATTACTAAATGTCACATGTGCCTGCTTCAATAAATACCACGGCATTAAAAACGATTTTTTTTAAAAAAATTAATTTGTCTTAATGGTAAAATTCTTAGAAAATAAAATTATATATTCATTATTTATAATATTAAGGAATATATATAGGTGAAAATAACCAGAGTTAGAAGGGGAAAATCGGAGCAAGACTTTACAATTCTTCGTTTTCAGTACATTTTTAAAAATACTCAACCATAAAAATACAGGGAAAAATTAATTTAGATAATCATATGATATTTTTGCGAGTTATTAAGTATACGTAAATACTCTGGTCAAAAAGGTATACGTAAATACAAAACAAGATGTCAAAAGGAGACATTTCAAAAGTGATGATGGATTATGAATATTTCAAAAAAGATGGCACACGGCATCATATTGTCATATCGGCCATTGGCACTGTAAAGTGTAAAGTCACATGGCAACCCGCTTTTTTTCCTTTTTAATATTAGACGAATGCACATTATATAGAATATAAGAAATCATTTGTATATCTATAATTAATAAATAGTAATTTCTTAATGTTTTTATGTTTTATATATTTTATATTAACATCGATTATTGATGTGTGGGTTCATGCTCTCATCATTTTCCCTAGCATGGTAAATAAAAAGAGAAAAAGCTGGTAAAATAAAAAATAAAAAGAGAAGAAAAGGGGCAAGTTAGAGTTCCGTGTATAGAGAAAAGATTCACTATAGGAGAGTTTGGCAATACTTAAAGTTAAAATCATTTGGAAAAATTATATTTGAAGTACCTATTTTTTCTCAAATTTTAATTTGGTATCTTCGTGTTTTTTCTCTTAATTAAATTATGTAATTTTACCTTTTTAGTAATATTAATTTTTGCATTTTTGTTCTATTAACATTTTTAATTTCTATGAAAGGATAAATGACGCTAATAGAACAAAATTAAAAATTTAATTAAGAAAAAAAAACACATACTTACATAGATATCAAATTAAAAAGAAAAAAAACAACTACCTCCAATATGGTTTTTTTTCAAAGTATATTCACAAAACCCTTCTCACGTACTTATTTAGTACATGATAAAATTATTTCTAAAAAACTAATATAAATACATAGGAACCTATGATCCGGAACATGTCCTTGTCCTATAACCCCTTGTAGTTATATGTCTCGGTATTTACATGTGCAAACACACCGCTGGGCGGGGCCATGTATTTTTTCCTTCTTTTTTATTTTTTTTTGTTTTGAACCTTTTTGCCAGCGGGGCCATGAATCTAATGCCCCACCCGACTCATACCCGTCCTCTTGGGGCCGACTTGATTAAATTACATGGCCTGACAACGCCAAACAAATCAAATTGATCAACACCCCGAATTATTTTATTGGTGCACACACGCAAATACATGAAATGGTTGTAGACACCATCGAAGATCTTTGTCCCCTTCGCATGCATCAAATAAACGTAAAATCAAGAACATTTCTATTACAAGGGTGAAGGGGAGAAAAATCCAATCTGGCTAAATCGGGGGGGGGGGGGGAATGTAATGGATAACATTTCTATTACTGGACTGGGGTTAATGTTCGTTCAGTAATAACCAAAATCTAATGCCACAACAACAAATCATTTAAACGGCTCAATACACTTCTAACCTAACGGGGGATTGAATTCCCGACAGCACATTTTACAACAAAAGCCCCTTCTTTTAAGGTCCATACCGTGATTCCAAAGGACCCATATACAAATGAACGGATTCGGCGCAGAATAATTATAGAAAAGAATCAATGGCCACCAACATCCTATTTTCTTATTGTACACTGCGGTTAATACAGCCTTCCACAGCACTTGGGCGGTTGCTATTCCACTTCTCCAAGTCAGAAATCACATAACATGCAATTGGCGTTCTGACTCTGAAGCACTGGGAAAAGGACAAATCCATATCAATTTTGACGTGTAATTTCAAACAGATCCAAAATCTCGAGAAGCTCCATGACAATGGAGGGAAGTCACTGTTCGGAAGTTAAATCCTCCCACTAAGAATCATTAGCTCTCTCAAAATGCAAATACACACGCGAATTCGTTAGTCACTCCCGCTGCCACGTCTATCTGAAAGCAAAAGATCAAAGAATAATTTACTATAAGCCTATTACCTGTGTATCATTGCAAGGCAGAAAATAGAAGTGTGCGCGTGTGCGTGGTGGAAAGGGTCAGGGTTACCAAATCACCTAATTTTCTCTTCCCTTCCATGGCTTCTTTCTTGTCTTGGCAACTTCGGCAAAGGAATGGACCGTCCCAGGGACGCAATTTCCCCAGGTTGGATGCCCCTTCGTGTACTGATATACCCTCCCCAGGCTTCATCTCAACTTGACAGACTGCACAGGTAAACAACTTGAACATGTTGCAGAGTGGATATTTCGTATCTAACCTGGATTACAGATGAAAAGGTTTTAGCGTTAGGAGACACAACACAGAGCATGCAGCTAACTTCAATGCTTTTTACGCAACCAAACCTTTCTGAAAGCATAGCAGATCCTTCCTCGTACATCTCCATTACCACATCAGGCTCCATATAATCTTTCTCATTATAAGAAGATGATTCCGCAGATTTTCTCCGAAACATGGATTTAAACATTCCTTTCATTGGTCTTTTAACTTGTGTCAAAGGAGGAGCAGGTGGTTTCTCTTGGGGCAGAATATCAATAACAACGCAGGTTGTGTCATCTCTAAGCCCCTTTGCTTGTACCGCCTCCTAGAGTTGAAAAGAGAAATGGAATAAAGGGTAATAATAGGCAATTAGTGCAACAAAATGACAAATTAAAGCAGATGGTGTTGAAATCACAATCAAATTAAGCAACCAACATGAAAACAAACGAACTATTTAGAATTAGAGAGACAGGTACACAAAGCATACTTTAACTATATGCGGTGCTGCAACTTCTGGTGGCATCCCACGACAACAATCAAGGGCTGTTTCTGCAGATAGAGCATCCCAAACACCATCACTGCAGATAATAAGTCTGCCTCCAGATGTGGACAGCTGCAAGAGCAGATAGAGCAATTATATAAACTAGAGCGACCTAATGAAGAGAGGCAAGTGAAAATTAACAAATAAAAAAAAACAAAAATATAATGGGCGAAAGAAGTTAGTGACAACCTTCACTTGCTTAACGTAAGGTACAGGAACAATGAATTGTCCAACATCCATATCACCAATAGATCTGGAAAGACACAAGCCACCAGGCCAACATCTCAAAGGACCAATCTACAACATAATTGTGCTAGTTAGGCATAAAATGTCATTTATGCAAATGCAGAAGCCTTTGAAGAATAAATATTGGTAAAATTAAAAAGCAATAAATAAATATATGGTCAGTATGATTTTGAAATGTGAAGGACAGATTTTTCAAAGCTCAAAAGATTGTAAAACATTAGTGATCTGTCAAATAAGTATTGTTTGGTTGAAAATGTGTTCGATATCATCAAGCGTCTTCCGTTCTAATCAACGAGAGTATACTTGAATTTTTATGTAGTACACTACGAGCTGTTGCTTCTTAATTTCTCATAGCAAGTTTAACCGAACAAGATTAATTATGCCCAAAAGAGCATCAGCTAGAAGCCCCGGATCAATGCATTAGCAGTCCCACAGCTGGTGAGTGGGCCTTCTTTTTTTTTAAAAAAAAAAAATTTGTAGCCTGTTGACGCAGCCAAAATATCAGGGGAAAGAAAGGATCATAGTCAAAGGAGATGTACCTCTGCACCTCCACCAGTATTGAGCCGACCAACCTCACCTCCACTGCTCGTTATACGTGCCACCCTAACCAAAGGAAAACTAGGGATGAGGCTAAGCTGTAATGAAGTAAATCCAAAAAATGGTTCAACAAAAGCACGGCATTCATAACTTACTCCTCTTCATTGGTGTCTAGCCTATGATCCGCTGATAGGTAATAAAGCCCACCTTCAGAAGGTTCAAGTATGCATCGGGAATCACCAACAGATGCAACTGTGACAATCCAACCTTCTATAATCACAAATGTCACAGTTGTTCCTGATGTTTGAGCTGCACAAATGAAATAAGTATAAGAACCATACATCGCTGAACCTAAAATAGCTTAATAATTCTCATCAATGGCTACAAATCAAAGCCTCTTCATGGACACCAACTTATGATGCTTTACATGAGGAATATTTCATAAATCTACAAGCATGACCTATTAAACAGCCCACTAAAAAAAATATAAGAAAAATATAACCTTACATACGCAGAATCCCTAATGGATCTACTATCTACATACGCAGAATCCCACGTGGAACCTAAGCTTAAGTCTCAGGTCTTGTTGTTAATTGAAAGAAGAACTTCTCATAAAAGTCAAAATCATGCTCGCAACATAGAATGCTGCCCACATACTGGCTTCAACCCAGGAAGTATGGATCTCTAACCTGGCACAGGATTTTTTAAAGAGAAGTTTTCTCCGAATGTGAAAATGTAGAAATCTAATTATCTTGATCAATTCGCTTATTCAGGACACGGTAGCATCAAAAAGTTATAGTTGGATCTGCTGCCTGCAATAAGCACAGGTCCATATCCAGTGGGCTAATTCTAGCATTAACACACAAAGACAAAGAAACAATTCCTGTTTCTTACTGCAACTTTCTCATTCATAAACATTGGCAATCAACATCTTCAAATAAATATCAGTAGAAAAGCGTATTAGTGATGAATTGAACACAGGTAGCCACTCCTATCAGACAGAAGTTCAGTGATATTTCAAAGATTTTACAAATTTGTTAGGAAGCATCTCCATCAGAATTATTCTTTCTTCAGTGTTAACATTTTAACCTTCAGGAGCTCCATGTGATCAGCAATCACAAATACATTAGGTGATAACATAGATGGGAGCAATGAATACAATGACAGTTGTACCTGTCTCTTGAAAATCTTTATCAGTTTTTACAAAGCCCGCAACTAACGCCCTAGGCAAAGCTGCTATCCACTCATCTCTGTTAAGATCCGAAGGAATCACACTTAAAATATTATTTAGTAGATTCTCCTTGGCATAAATAGCAGCAGCAGATCCTTTGTGTCCATCAAATAGCTGCAAAACTTCGGGATTAGAAGTGGGAGGAAAACAGCCAACAAGAGAAGAATAAAACAACAGGTGCTAGGAAATAAGAGAGTGTATTGAGACCCAAAAAAAAAAAAAGAAACATTCGATGCACTGGTAGCTAAAGATTCTTATGGCGATACCAAGTTAACTAATGTGAAGCTTGAACAATAAGAAATGAAAGCATAATTGATTTCATAGGTACAAATGAAAGCTTGATGATAACGATAACTGCCTAATGAAGATTATAACAGATGAAGACATCATATGCAACTCTCTAACCTTTAATCCTCTGTCTAAGTGGGTTCCAAAGCACGCAGCAAGTAAAGCAAAGTATCAAATATAGACCCAAAAATGAACAAAAGAAAAGATAGCAAAATGAGTCAAACAAAACTACTTAGTCAAGCCGCTCAAGTCACATAGTTAAGTAAATTTCGTTGTCAGTTGCGATTATTAGCATTTATCTTCGTATATAAGTTACGTAAAAGAATACATCACAAAGTGAATTAATACATCGCAAGGAAATCTATCCATTAATAAAAGCCATGCTTTTACTTTTAGCCAACAGGATGAAGGTAACATACCGCGAAAACAGAATATGTCGACACCCCGTCCCCCACCACCCTCTGGCATTCCGTTTTTAGTAGCGTGAAGTCCTCTCCCTTTTTGCTCTGGCTTGCTTGACCATGGTGAATTTCTGGTTTTTCAATTTTCTCGCTTGCTGATTCACGCTTCAGGAGCACCGAAAGGGGGACCGTATGGTGTTCGCCCTTGGTTGACATTGTCGACGCCCCTCAAGCTCAAATGCCAATATGACCAATTGCAGAAAAATGGTATAGTTCTAGTACTCCATGCTTTATTGTAACGAAATCCTGAACACAGAAACAAATACGCATTACTCAAAACATCTATTTCCACTTACTCCCAATTTAAATTCTGATCGAGCTTTTATTCCTCGAAATACGTACGGAATCAACAAAATCTCCAAACAGTGACAGGAAATTCGACTTGTATCGGCAAGTGTTGTGAATGATGAAATCAAAACACATTATCAACACAAATTGCCCAAAATAAAAACATCGTTGATCGATCAGAATTCAGAACACAAATTGCGAGAAATACGAGAATGTGGAGTAATATACAAAAATCTAAGTCAGACAAACAGGATATTAACACTTGGGATTAAAGCGTTAAACCGAAATCCTAATCAATGGATTCCCCCGTTCGGGAAGGGGATTAAAAAGTCATGGAAGTCAAAAAAGAGGAGGAGGAGAGAACAGTAAAGGAAAGGGAGATTCAGAGAAAGAGGAGGCGAAAAGGTGAGAACATCAATCGTGCAGTGAAGTATGGAGAAATATTGAATTACATTGCTGGGTGTGATCGAAAAACTCGGATCCCGACGTCCTGCAAAAATTCCATTGTTGATAGAGGAAGAGGTTGATAAGAGAGAGAAGGAATATAGCTCCAAATAGAGCAATTTCTGGGGTGCCTTTTCCTCACTTTTTTTCTGTCTTCTCAAAACACCAAAAGCGAAGATAGAGACGATGACATGGCAAAAACGCTTCGTTTCCTTCGCTGGAACTGGAACGCTGCGAGCCAGCGACAGCGTATATCCTGCGCCGTAGACCTGGTCATTTTCACTGTCTCTTTGCAGCACTCCATCAAGTGTTGAATTATTAGCCCTTGCCTTTGACTCGCACACAGCAATAATCACTCTTGTTCCCCCGCCAACTCAACTGGCATACGAAATCGGGGTCCTTTGTTTATTTGTTTTTTCTTTTTAAAGCCGCGGTTGATTTACTTTTTAAAAAAAATTAATTAAATAAATTTTGTTAACTAAAAACAATCTCATCTAATTAATGGCCTTCCCAGTTTAATTAGTATTCTCAAGTTATTTTAAACTTAAAATTAGTTTTTATTGAACTGGGAGCATGGAATTTTATTCCCGTTAACAAAAATTTGATTGGTAATTAAATGTTCAAGTAATCTGTTGAAAGGAATAATATGATCAGTTATTTTTTAAGAAAATAATGAACAATGTCTCAGTGAACTGGACATAAAAAAATTAATAACTTTTATTTAATATTTATAATTATGGGAATCAAAATTGTGAATGGACAAATGATTTAACAGGGAAACCACAAATGATAATCATCACATGTGCCCATATGCCAGTCTGAACTAAAGGTTCTGGTCAGGAAAGCAGGGCGAAGGGGCGGCCACCGAAGCCACATGTTTTTTAAGGCTGTGTGTCCGAATGCCCAATGCTCAACACAGTGCCCTCAATCAAAGTTCCCACCCCTAAATAACAATAAATAAAAATAAGATTTAGTATTTAAAGAAATATTCTTGATAAGTTTGAAAAAAAAAAAAAACCAGAGGGGTGCCAAACGGGCGGATAGCAGGGTCATGCAGGGTAGGCTACAATGAGCTTCCCTTTTTTTTTCTTCTCTTTAAAATAAATTGTCAAAAATATATTTAGCGGGGAGATCAAACTTGAAACTGAAAGATAACAAGACCATTGACCCTCCTCGGAGGAGACCGCAATTATCGGAGCCAGTCACCGCTCGCAGCTCGCAAGGAGGGCCGACCTTATCTCTGCATGTGGTGCGCGTGCATTGCACTGCCAAACTGTTGGCTCTGCTGGTAAATCATTTTAATATTTTATTATACCATGATGGCCAACTTATCCTGCTTTACGTAGATATTTTATCTTCGATGATTATATAAATTTTAAAAAAAATTGTTAAAAGCTCCTACTAAAATATTTTTATCTGAAATACTTAAAATTTAAGAACTCAACCTCTTAGAGGCCCCATATAAACGAGGGCTAAAAGATCAAAATGTCTTTAATTATATAATTTCTAAAAAAATAATATAATCTTTGGTTTTTTAAATTTATCTTTATTTTGGTTTTGATCTTTTAAGTTTTAAATTATAGGTTTTGATTCTTTTGAAAAGCAAAATAGTCCAAATTTTTATTGGATTATAGGGACCAATGTTAATAATGTTATAAATAAAAAGAAACATGAGAGATCAAAATATATGGTTTGAAACTTGAGAAACAAAAATCAAAATAAAAATAAATTTCAGAGAGTAAAGTTTGTATTTTTCCTTTTCTAAAGCACCTAGATGATTGGGGCCTGTTTAGATTCACGATTAAGAATACTTATAAGCATATTTTATATTGTTTTTCATATATTTACCTCATATTTTATAAACCATAATTTAAAAATTATTTATAAACTATTTTAAACATGTCTTTGGTCCTTAGAAAAGACCTGAGAAGCTCTTGAACGATAAATTTTTTGAATGGATGTTTTTTGGGCAATTCTCCCTTAAGATTTATAGCTTTTTTTTTTTTTTACCTAGAATGAAATAGAAAAGATATAACTTTGTTTATATTTAAGTTGAAAACAATGTGGATGAACTACCTCCTATCTTTAATACTCCTCTGATCCTTAATATAAGACTTAATTCTTGAGTTGGTTTTGGTCCTAAATATAAGACTCATTTCTCATATTTATCAATTTTCTTTAAATTATTCCTATGGATACTCCATCAACCATAATCAAGTAGAAGAGGGAAATGGAGTATTAAGAAAGATAATTATGGTATTATAGGAAAAATGTGTCATTTTTTTTATAATTAACTAACTTACCTAACTTCCTTAATCTAATCAAATTAGTTAAATGAGTCTTATATTAACGACCAGAGAAGTACTATTTTCGGTTTTAAATATAAGAGCTAATTGACTAATTTGAACAGATTAAAGAAATAAATTAAATTAATTATTTGTAATAAATATGTGTTATATTTCCTAAAATATCCTTGTCAGTCAAGTTGGTTGGCTAGAACTACCATTATTAGAAGGATTATCTTAAAAGAAAGGATAAATATGATAGATAAAATGAATTAGGGTCATATATTTAGGATCAAAATAAAAATCAAATTTTTTATTTCTCTAAATTAATTAATTAAATATCATATTAAGAATTGGGGTTTTTTTTTTGGGGGGGGGTTTTAAGGAGGTAATATTACATTGCTGGGAAATGTTGTTTTCGAAGAGACTCTGGCATGGAGGAATAGCGTTTTCCATACGGGCCTTAGGGGGTGTTTGGGTTCTTACCTAAATGTTTTTTAAAAGTAATTTTTCGTAAATCGAGATAAATTTTTTTATATATTTATTTCATATATCGTAAAATCACTTTTAAAACCATGGTTTGGTTTTCATCAAACACCCTGTTGGTGGCGTCTGAATAAACCCCGCGTAAAAGTAATTTAATTGCAGACCCTGCGTGAAATACCGATCATTTTCCTAGTACTTCTCTCCTCTTATTTTTTTAAATTCTATTCACAAGATATTTTATTAAATTTTTAATGCAAATTTATTATATTTTTTAGATATTTAAAAAAATGTGTATTTATTAAATAAGAGTAAAATTAAAAAATTATTATATTTTGATGAATAATTAATACAATTTAAGGTAAACTTGGTCTGTATAGAATATGTTAGAAGTGCCTTACAAATAAAACCTGATATAACGCTCTACCCAAAAAACTCACTTATAACATTTTTTTGTATATCAAGAAATATATTAAATTGATAAAAAAATTTATTTTACTCTGATTAAAAAAATTTTATTTATATTTACAAATCATGTTCACTTTTTTCGCGTTCTCTCTCTTTTTAATAAAAATGAACTTTAAAAACAAGCATTAAATAATTATAAATTACTTATATTTAAGACAAACTTCCTTACAAATGATTTGGATTTAGGACCAGGGTGGTCAGCGTTTTCTATTTATTATATATTTTTATAATTTATATAAAGACTTTGTAATTTTATAATTTAGCTTAGGGAATAGATACTCCAGCACTAGCTATAATTTCTCTGCAAGTTGTAAACATGCCCTGACCTTACTCCGCCAAGCTGGACGGCAAATATAGATTTTTAAAACAACTAATTTTCTTAAGGAACTATAAAAGTCACTTTGTTTTTACTTGAACAAACGGGCTAAAAACACTTACTATTTTTTTCATGTTTTTCTTATGTTTTTACTATAAATATTTTTAATAAACATGTGAAAAATGTAGTAATTATTTGACAATAACGCGAGAAGTGTATAATTTAAAGGACTTGTTTAAAAATAATGTCGTTATTTTATTTTAATTAAAGAACTTGAAAATAAGAGTCGGAAAGCATGTAGATTGTTTTCTACGTAAAAATTAAAGGACTTATAATTTAAATCAATAATATTGTTTCTTATATACGCAATGTTACCTAGTACTCGAGTCCCTTGGAACAAAATAGAACGTGTTGCCTGCGGGGTAATTTAATCTTTAGACTTCTCCGGGAATTAATGGTTGAATGGACCTTTTCTTTGTGTCACGATTTTTTCTTTTTTCAGTGGTTCCGAGTGCCAGAAGTAATGCCAAATCCAAACAAGTCAATTCACTGAATTCAGTACTCCTACTGGTCTTGTACGAAAACAGTCAAATATTTTATAGTACGGGCAGCGCGACGGACCTTATCAAAATGCAGCGATGGTCTCCGGATGCGGGTTCTAGAGTGTTTAAGGGTGTGTTTGGATTAGCGGTGGAGAAGTAATTTTTTTTTCAATCTGATTTTTACAGAAGTCAGATTGGATAAAAGTCAGATAGTGTAATGTGATTTATGTTTAGATTGGATTTTGTAAAAAAGTCAGTTTGAAAAGTTGAAGCTTGTTTGGATGATTAATGAAAAAGTAAGTTTGAATATAAAACGACTGAAAAGGATATAAATTTTATTATATGCAACAAATAAATATGCATAGTATGGTCATTTTCTATGCAAATGGCATTTCTTTTGAAGTAAGAGAGAGTGTATCCCATTTTCATAAAGCTTATTTTTCTCACCCCACCGTGATGCATCCCATAAGCAACAAAATATGACTTAACCCAAAAGCTACTTATTTTCATGAAATTCATTTTGTTCCATCGTGATTCCAAACAAAAATTATAACCAGAAGCTAGTTTTGCTGGGGAAAAGTCAGTTTGGGATCACAAAATGTGATCCCAAACACACTCTTAGGGTGTGTTTGGATTAGCGGTGGAGAAATAACTTTTTTTTCAATATGAATTTTACAGAAGTCAGATTGGATAAAAATCAGATAATGTAATGTGATTTATGTTTGGATTGGATTTTGTAAAAAAGTCAGTTTGAAAAGTTGAAGCTTGTTTAGATGATTAATGAAAAAGTAAGTTTGAATATAAAACGACTGAAAAGGATATAAATTTTATTATATGCAACAAATAAATGTGAATAGTATGGTCATTTTCTATGCAAATGGCATTTCTTTTGAGGTAAGAGAGAGTGTATCCCCATTTCATAAAGCTTATTTTTTTCTCACCCCACCGTGATGCATCCCATAAGCAACAAAATATAACTTAACCCAAAAGCTACTTATTTTCATGGAGTTCATTTTGTTCCATCGTGATTCCAAACAAAAATTATAACCAGAAGCTAGTTTTGCTGGGAAAAGTCAGTTTGGGATCACAAAACGTGATCCCAAACACACTCTAAATTAGCTTATGAGAAGTAATTTTGCGATATATCGGTGACAGTAATTTTTTTAAGTGGTTTTTTTTTTTGGGAGTTTTCCAAACTCTTCTTTTAAGACCTACCTTGCCCACCAGATTTAGGAAGTGTTTGGATGGAATCAAAAATATAGTTTTAAAAGTACTTTTATAGTGTACAAAGTAAATATGTGGAGGAGTTTGTCTTGTTTTGTGAAAAAATGCTAACACTTTTGAGTTTTTCCAAACACCTTTTTATTCCTGGTTTGTGTGCGTGATGTATTGACCTGGTTTTAAGCTGTGGTTAAACTAAAATGAAAATGATTTTTAGAAACTAAAATCAATTTTTTAAATAAAATAACTTAAGAGTGATCTTGCTTCAATTCATTACATATGCTTCTACATGACAAGTCTCATGTAGAAAAAGAAAAGAAAGAATAAAAATTAAACAATTGAGAATTAGATATTGTATAAGAATTGAACAACAATCGCAGGACCCAGAAGAGTCTATGGGATAGAAAATCTGTCAATAAAAAGAAAAGAAAACAATCACGGGATAGAAAATCTACCAAGGGACCCAGAAGAGTTCATACGCACGATCGCAGAAGATATCCGCTCCCAAAGGGAAAAATCAGCATAACAATCAACAAATTAGTACTACGGAGCTAGTGATATATGCTATTTCCTATATGTTATTATTGTCTGTTAGAACGAAGCTTTAGAAGGATATCTTAGTAAATAACTAGGAGTTAGTTACGAGCCAAGAATGATATATGTTGTGTACCTCCACCATTACCTTTTTGTGGAATGAATTTTGCACTCTCTCTCTTTTTTGTTATCAGCTAATTTAATTTTTAATGTAGTTTTCAATATAAAACCCTAATCCACTTTATTTTAAATATTTATTGACTTTCTTCTCAAATAATTTTTATAATAATCACATATGTTAAGAAATTATTATTAATAGGTAATTCAAACACATATAATTACTAGAGATATTTTAGAAAATACACATATTTTCTATAAATAATTAAATTAACTTATTTTTTTAATCTTTTCAAATTAGTCAATTAGGTTATGTATTAATAACGGGGGTAATAATTAATAGGTCAGTCAAGACCATTTGATGGGCCAAAAGCCCAAAACGAAGGGGTGGGCCCGTGGGTGTGGGGGAATGAAAAGCATTCTGGTGAAGCAGACCCATCTATGAGGCCTGAATCACACTCCGGCGTGCGAGTGAGCAGTAAATCAGTTGAAAGTAAGGAAATGGATATGAGTTATTTTTTAGGTTAGCCAAACACCCTCAAGTCACAATTAAAACTGAAACAAGAAAGTATGAGACAACCCGGACAAAATCAGAAGAAACAGGCAAGGACAGAGGAAGGTCAATTGAAGATGAAATTAACCTGCCAGGCCTTTTAGAGACACATAAGCCTTGTTGTCCCTTCAAAATACAGATATACAAGGCTAAACAATTATTTGCTCCAGCCAAAAAATTGACAGAATGTGATGGGAAGTTAAATTGAAGCCCAGCCAAGTTTATCGTTTAGGCATCGGAACTAAAAAATAATTATTTTTTTTTTTTCATAAAAAAAAGTTACACTACTCTCTGAGTACATGCTAAATTAACGAATGCACCCCAGAAAACACAGACGAAGCCTAGTTTGTGACCCACATTAAGCACATAGAGAAGTGCGTGAACACTTCTCCGATTGGGTAATCCACAATCCTCTGATGTTTCATTACAGGAAGTTCATTATATAATAACAAGCCACTAAGTTTTCGATGACTCACTGATCAAACTGTAGTCACATAGAATGGACAAATGCGTCCCAATTTGTGAGCAACCAAGACGCCTTTCCATTTACCACTACAACCCGTTTCAGGGATCAATATTACAGAATACCATTCCCCCATCACGATTTATTCATCTACCAAAGCCATTGTTCGCACAGCTTTGAATGCTTTTCTTCGAAAAACTAGGCTGGATGGCCGTGTCTCAGAGATTGCCAACATGATTAGTCCTCTGAATTGTGACCTCCCACGAGGTTATGTCATCAGAGATGCCCTGAGGTGAATCTGAAAGACGAGAAAAGACCATCAGCAGCCAAGCATGGATTAGGGATAGGCTGGCAAGCAGTTAATCGATATCTGGAAGGTGGAGGGAAGAGACCAACACCACTACAAGAGAGAAAGAAGAGTTCCAGTAGGCCAAAAAGCAAGGGATTGACTAGGTGTGTGGTTACTCTCCTGATGGGAAGAGGATTGAGCGCTCAAGCCTATAGCGTAAATAAATAAATTTCCATTTGTCCAAGTCTGAAATGAAACTAGTTAGCTTGTGCAGTACTGAGGTGTCATTCCCAGCTGAACATAGAAAGTTAGAATCTTCCCACTAGTAGCTTATGAAGCCCAAGTCCTTCAACCATGGTAGCACCTCTGCTAGTCCATCTTCCAAACTTCTGGGTCTATAATCTAACTCCTGTTTAGCTTTATCGCAGGAATATTCCCATCGATGCCTTAAAACACAAACCGTCTGCAACAAGGTTGAGGCATGGATATTAGAAGTTTAGAACGAATCACGTTAAATGTCTGAGAACAGAACAACATCAAGGGAGAAGTCTGATCAAATATGGACAAGAAGTCATCATTTCTTTTCAGTCTAAATCATGTAACTTACTGGTGGACTGATGAGGGGAAGCTTTCCGCTGATTCGAGAGAATAAAACTGATAGCCAACCATATGCTTCAATCACCCACAGAGGGATATTAAATAATGGTCTTTTTGTATTAGTGATGATTGCAGCTATATCAAACACATGTGCGAATGATGCATTTTCACCTGTCAGCAGAAACCTATTACCGGGTTGCCCTTTTTCCATTACAGCAATGTGTCCCTCCACCACGTCATCAACATGGCTAAAAGAAAATCTATCATTTCCGTAGCCTATGTAACCAGGTAATCGTCCATTAAAACGTTCTATCATCTGAAGTGTGGCGGCATAAAAGAGCTTTTTCAGTAAGATGTAAAATGTTAATGGGATTGAAAACGAAGAGATCAGGTTAAATCATGCCACTAGTGTTTATACAAGAATTAGTAATAACAAATAAGGTCAGAAGATTATTTCATTTCTGAATGCATTTATTCCACTAGATTGCCAGTTAAAAAATACCGCATGGCGGAATACAGTGAAAGAGAAAGTTAACGCCTCATTTATGTGCTAAGACAGGAGGAAGAGAAAGCTACTTGTGAAATAAGGGCGAGCAGGAAATTGGGCATGAAAGGATACTGGGGGCAAAAAAAAAAAAAAAATCATGCAAATTTTTCAACCATTTCATTGTCACCGTCTCGACCAAGGAGACCCTAATTTCAGTGAGATGACCTCTTCCTCACGAGCTCGGTTTGCAGTATAGAAATACTTGCGTAAAACTTAAAACTCACCCTAAAATCTGTAATGCATAAATCATCAGCCTAACCTAACATCGAAGTGCCGTTTAGTGCTTTTCTTCATTAAACCCAACCTCAACCATTTCTCCATTAATTTTACGTATACAACTAAAGGTAGAAAGCGAATTGATAAACGGATGATTAGGGACCTGAACTGCAAACTAGATGATAATTTTGCGTTAACACATAAACAACGTAAGTTGAAAACAGCTAAAATTGAATTTAAAGAGAAAGCATCAAGTGGAATCGCTAAATTGAAATCCACTTGCACCCTTAGACTTATAAGCTTCACAAATTGCCCTTGCCCGATATTTCACATAAATGAACCCGCGGGCATTGAAAAAACTCCAGGCAAAAAAGTGCCTCCTTATGCCAAGCGTATATGATATACGCCAGGTAAAACCCATATATGAGAACCCTACAAACAAGCGATCATCTTTCTCACCTGATAAAACAAGAAAAAGGAACGGCATTGCTACAAGTTGAATAAGAGTAAAGAAACAGAAACAGTACCAGCTTACAAACAATATTTCCTGCCGTAACTTTGCCAGGCCCGTAGATAACCCCGGGATAAACCACCACTAACGGCATGCCCTCGGACGCAGCTTGCAGTGCAATTTTATCCGCAGCAATCTTTGATTTCTCATATTCCGTGCAGAAAAACTTTTCATGATGGACCTGTAATTAAAATTTCCGATACCAATAAGAAAAGCTCGTGACATCTTCAGAATATAATTCTGCCGAATAAGCAACAAAATGAAAACTCTTCCCACTTGATTCTCATCGGCAATGCTTCCATCAGTTGGTCCCAGTGCAAAAAATGATGAAGTGAAAATAATTTTCTCCACTGTCTTTGTCTGCTTCACTGCCTCCAACAAATTTTTCAACCCACCAACGTTCACCTAATACAATTAAAAGAAAATTGTGAAGCTATCAGATTCAGTTATATGAAATGTATATACAGAGAAGTGAAAGGTCGTGCTCTAACAGAAAAGAATTTGGAGGGGTCGGGAAGCCAAGGCTCGACAAGAGCTGCTACGTGGAAGATGATGCGGCAGCCGGAGCAGGCAGAGAGGAAAGAAACATAGTCAGTGACATCACCGTAGACGATTTCAAGAGCTCCGGCATTGGCAGGAGAAGAAAGGGCCGAGAGATCACTGGTTGGCCTTGCGAGGACCCTAATTGAGTATCCTTTGCGGAGCAAAGCATTACAGAGCCTTCCCCCAAGGAAACCGGATGCGCCTGTAATCAGAATCTTCATCTTCTCTCTGTTTTGCTTGACCGTATTCGAAACCACTTCTCCGTCGTTCGTCCTCCACTTCAGCTCAGCCCATGTCTTGCCTCAGTTCTGGTGTTGACCCGCGATATGCGGTTTCTTCCTTTCTTTTTTCCGAATCTTCCGATGGGTGACTGCGCCCTCCCTTCATGGTTTCTGTAACATTTATAGGATTTATATTTTTGCATTTTGACGAGTTAAGTCTAATTTATTTTATTTTAAAAGATATTGTATGTTAAATATGGAAAAGGAAACGACCCGGGAAACCCCAAATATTATTCGCGGGCAAAAAGGAAACCCCCATATTATTACGTAATAACAGGCGAACCACTTATTTGGAGTGGGATTTGATTTTTTTTGGGGGGATGATTTCCCCAAAAATGCTTTTTCTTGAGCATTTTTATGTAAATTGAGATATTTTTTTTTATAAATTATGATTTGGTTTTCATCCAAACACCCATTAAGTATAATACATAAATCTTATTTTTTATCTCATTTATTTTTGAGAAAATGACACTAGGGTTCTATGGAACACAAAATACTGTAAAAAGATCCTATGAAACTTAGTAATGAATCTGAAGTCCCAAAAATACCTAAGTGCAATTTAATTAAGTGTAAAATGACCTCTCTACCCTGATAAGATACACCCAAAGCTGTTGCAAATCAACACCCTATTCGCAGAAGGCAAGAGGAAAAAAAATACGCAAACTTCATCTTCTTTCTTCCTTACTCCCATGTGAAAATCTTGCCCACTTTATTGGCATTAATGAAGTTTGGGTATTTTTTTTTTCCTCTTGCCTTTTGTGAATAGGGTGTTGATTTTTAGGTTGAAATAGAACAACTTTTCAACAGTTTTGGGTGTATCTTAACAGGGTAGAGAAGTCATTTTGCACTTAATTAAATTGTACTCATTCCTTTGGGACTTCAGATTCATTACTAAGTTTTTTAAGACCTTTTTGTAATATTTTGTGTTCTATAAGACCCTAGTGTCATTTTTCCTTTATTTTTTTAAAACTAATTTAATTAACTTGAGATATAATTTAATATTGTTAGGGTGATAGTTTAAATTTTTTTTGCCACATTTGTTATAATTGACTGATTTATTTGTTAATACATTTAAATTAGTTAAAAAGCTTTTATACTAAAAACTGAAAGAAGTATTATATAATAAATAATAATAAATTTAAAATGTTAAAACTCAGTAGGCTAGCCCACAACCGTAAAAGTTAAAGAGTGAAAAAAAAAATTAATTTATAAAATATTTTAATGATATATAATTATAAGCTGTGCACGTCAAATTTCAATAATTCAAATTTTTTATCTATTTATTTTCATATAGTAATAATAATAATTTTATAAAATATCAATTCGAAACATTCACTTATTGTATTTATTTAAGTGTTAAAATGTGATTAATTTGTTGAAGAAAAAGGAAAGAGAGGAATTCGGAGAGGATGCCCTGCAATTTAGACGCATAAATGAGTAGCAATGTTAAATAGTGAGCAGTACAAAAGTTGTTAAATATATTACACTTTTCATAAGCACTTTGACACCCCGTCAAGTGATATCAAACAGATAATATATACCTTCTCCGGTGGAGTAGCTGTTCAATTCATATTTCAAAGTTACAAGCTGCCTCGACCCATTCGTTGTACTCTGCTCATAGAAAACAAACAAATGATATTTAAGATTTCACCCTTTCAGCCTCCTATTTCAAGTACCGCACACGTCCGCGCCTTGGTGAATCTGCCAGGGGCCAACCATTTGCGTCCACATTTGAACGCAACATCATCACCTTCATAAGTTCGAAATCATGCTCGTCTGAGGGTTGTCAACCTGAGTCCTATGAAACTAGTCAATAATCTACAACCTCGAGCGCCGGATGCATTTTATAGGATTGAAAGAGCCATGCCTTCTTGTATTCCTGGAATTTGATTTGATATCCCAATCCTCAACGTTCTTAGGAACACATATATCAAACAACGCTTGGCCAAGAACCCCATACGCATTGATGCCCGGGCGGCTTGGTAAGTGAATTAAACTTTCCTTGCGTTCATCTGATACTGAGCCGACGCCCTTGCCCTCATAATAATTCATTGAACCAGACAACAAATCATCAGAAGCAACAGCAAAGCCCTGAAAACTGGTTGAAGTCATTGCAGCTTTCCTAAAATTACTGATTGGATATGAGATTTCATCTCCTGTTCCCTTCTTGCCCAGTCCCTCATCCCCAGTCGGTCTCTTTCTAGAAATATAAATTGCAGCTGCCTTGCCCAGGATCTCAGTGACTGCAGCCTTGTAGTCAATCAGATGGTGCCGATAATGACCTGTGACAAATTCAGGAGGAATTAAATTCAATAACAGAATGAGGGAGCCCTAGTTACTGAGCTCAGTACACTTTAATGAAACGCAGGTTTCTTGATCCTTTGTAGCCACACTCAAACAGACTAAATGATGCCATCATCAGTCAGCTCCTGCCTCTCAGCTTAGTTAACATTGACAAAAACAGGCAACCCAAAAGAAAGAAAAAACCGGTAGGTTGCTTGTCTCTGCCACAATGTTGATCTGATGTAAAATGTAAATTTAGATGAACGCAAAATGCCTCTTCCTACCAAAATAGTCAAACAACTAGTGATATGACAACCAAACTTGCATAGATGCTACCTCTTGTCTTTAATATAAGAACTAGATTAACATACAATTTGATCCTAATTATAAGACCATAATCTACTTTATCTCTCATATTTATCCATTTTTTTCCTAAGGTAGCCCTTGTAGTTACACATGTTAAATATTCTAACTAATAGGCATAATTAGTAAAGGTATTTTATGAGAGATAACACCTGTTTATTACAAATAACTACCTTAGCTAATTTTTTAATCTACTTAAGTTAGTCAACTAACTCTTATATTAAGGATTGGAGGTAGTATTAAAGAATGATATTTTATCTTCAAGAATAAAATCATGATACGATCTTCACAGTTCAAACAGGAACTGGTCCGTCAAGTAGGATCTTCTCACAAAAGTGTAGACTGCATATGCCTACCTACATGAGGAGAGGTATCCCATTTCACCATTTTAACATCACAGCCAAGGTCTTTTAGTCGTTGGACAAAATTTGAAATAACTTGAAAAGAAGCAAGATCATCATTTTCGGAACAAAAAATGAGATATGGGGCCTGCATCCTCTGCAATAGAATATAACTCAATAAGCAGAAAATTCAAAAATCCCAACAAAAAAAAGAGAGAGGCATGAAAGCTATAAAATTCAAGAATCCCAACAGAAACAAGAGAGGCATAAAAGCTATGTTGTTTATTTTTTAACACTTACAATAGTGGAGTAAAGAGTTTGCCAATACTCAGCACGCTGTGACTCAAACCTGCTGAGGAAGAGAGCATCAAGACCAGATGCAATGCTATTTGCGATCCATGAAGCAAACCTTGGCGGATGGGACATTTTCAAAACAGATGGATGTAAAAGAAATCGGACACCCAAATCGCTGGTGAAATCAACTGGACTGGAGTCGTAAATATAGCCACAAATAGAGTCTCTAACGAGCTGGTAATCAACCTGTAAAGTTAAAAGGGTTTAGAAGTTCAACTATCAGTAAGTCAAAAAGTTAAAAGATCAAAAAGCCACCATCCTAATAGAGAAATCCATGTCGCAGGAAACTGAGTTAAATACTTTGCCCAGGGAAATACAGGACAAATTAAACAATGAAATATATAGAATATTTGATTTTGGCTTTCAACGCTATCATGTGATATAATATATGTAATTCAAGCATCCCTTAAACTACAAATAGAAAAGACATACCATGTTATGTCCTTCGCACTTTCCCTCAATAATCTGAAATCAAAGGAAATTAAATCGTCAGAAGTCAGATTTTATTACGGTATGGTGCTAGAAAAGTTTTAACAACGAAGAAAAATAATATCACATTGATATATACTCTCAAGAAAAACAGGAAGATCAAGGCGATAGAGTATAGAACTGAATACCTGAAGAACCTCAAACATACAAGCTTTTGCACCCCCTGAAAAAGACGCAAACACTACGGGACAAGGCCCGCTTCTCAGCACCTGCATATTGACATGCATGGAGAGGCATTTCATAAGCTTCAACCAATGAATCAATTTTTTTACGGGAGTAAAAATGTATAAGTTTGGCAAAGTGTAAAAATAAAATCTCTCGATTATATTCCACTTGAAACTAGTTTTTTGGCGACCTGAACTAAGATTTGTTTACCAAAAAACTGGAGAGTTACGATCAAACTAACCTTAACAAGTTCATTAAGTATGTCAACAGCAAGACTTGTAGCTTTCTCAGGGAAGAACCTGCAATACAAGGCAAAATTATAGCGAACACTGCATTAATTTATTATGCTCCCAGATAATCCCTCGAACAGAGGGTCACGGAAAATTGAAGATCAAAGCAATTATAAAGACCCAGAACACAAGGGGAAATATGATTTCGACGGATAATAGGGTTGCCGGCTCAATCATACAGTTACTTCAGTGAAAATATCCAGATGGTAGGAAGAACTATCGACCAGCAATCTTGACATTTTCAGATTACAAAACTATCAATCTTGTAGTAAGAGTTTCAATTATCACCAGCAATTCATTTTCCCACAAAATTATAAATATATAAGGTGTAGTTGTAACGTAAGAACATAAACGGTCAATCAAGTTCAAGCACACTAGACATAAGTAAATGATTGGTCTTTAACTTCGGAATTAAGATGGAAGTGGGACGATCAGGGGTCAGCCAGATTGGCAAATAGGAACTCACATATTGAGAAACTGGGAATGACAGACGAGAGAGTTCCATCCGATAGACGAGTAGAGGTCTACGTATCTATTCAAGTGCCTCTCGTCGCTTGACATCCATGCGAATACCACGACTATCCCTTCTGCTTTCTCAGGTACTAGATTTCTTCCCCAGTAGAACCTACCCCCAAATCCCCACATTTTCCTCTATTTCCAACAATAAATGAAACAATTCTCTACAGCAGAACTCCGAGCATTTAATTTCTAGCCTTACAGAGCTGAGAAGACAAATTCCTTAACAGCAGATGATACAGATTGGATTAAATGAAGTAGCTTCCGAAGGTCAATACGGACTCTCTTCGCACCAGGTGGTTATCTAATCGCAGCTTTTGAAATCGGATGACGAAGATAGCGCTAGAATCGAAATTGAGCGTTCTGAAATGGTTTGGAAGTTGTCCAGCCTCAACCCAGATTTCGAAGGGGACACTCCCCAGGGCCGAAATTTACACGACAGAGAGGCACCCCTCGCTGTTGCAGTACAGGATTTGGCTTTCGGAAGATGATTTTAATTTATAAACTTGGACCAAAAAGTCAAAAAACTAATCTTGTGCCGCGTTCTCGAGATAAGCGCGATGCTTTCCCTTGATTTTGGGCGCTTGAGTGACGTTTTGTATTGATCTCAAAAAATCAGTTTGGTCCAACTTATTAAAGAATGGGGAATTCGCATATTCTTTTTTTTTTTTTGGGCAAAACCGTATATTCATTTCATTGCCCAAAAAGAGAAGTCCTTAAACTGATGATTAATCAATGCGTTGACATTGGATCATATCTTCCCCTACCATGCTTCGTCCATTTCACAGGAATTGATGCCCTGAAGGCTTAACTTGGCCGCCATAACAAAACTTTGAAACCTTGTTATGTGCATTCTTTTTAGGTGAAATTATTACTACCTCTAGTTTTTAATATAAGATCTCTTTTAATTTTTATTCTGGTTTTAAATATAAGATTTCAATCCATTTTGTCTATAATATTAATGTATTTTTTTTCCAAGTAGCCTCTCTAATAATGATAGTTTTAGCCAACACATTTGATTAGTAAGGATATTTTTATGAAAGATAACAACTATTTATTACAAATAACTAAACATATTTCTTTAATCTCCTCAAATTAGTCAATTAGCTCTTATAATTAGAATCAGAAGTAATAATAAATACAATATAATTAGATCAATAATAAATAAGAAGTTAGAAGTTATAAACTAACTAACTTTTACGGAATTTGTTTCTTTTTTTTTCAAACGAAAAAGTGTCCTATTTTACTCATTTAATCCTAAATATAAGATCCATTTTGTAGTATAAATTATACTACGAAAGAAGTCTTATAGTGAAGATGAGAAGAGTATAATACTATTGTCAATTAACATCAAATGCGTAGAGAAAGAGTATGCTGATGAACAACTATAATTTGTGTTTGTAGCGAATACTAGACCGGGATCATGCTCATCACAGTCACAAACATAATATGAAGAAATATAACTGCAAAATCTAATGACCCGTTGATTTTTCTAATTTATATTATGAAACATAAAACACAAAACTAACACCAATAACAAAGCCCAAGACACCAATAACGTTTAAATATAAGGGAAAGCAAGCCAATAAATGCCGGACCAATACAAATTTTGGACTTAGAGATTGTTTGAATAGAAATAAAATTATAATTTTAAAAATAATTTTACTATATATAAAATAAATAAATAAAAAAAATCTTGTCTCGAATTATGTAAAAATAATTTTTAAAAGTATTTTTTGAGGATAACCAAACAACGCTTTAATCAATTGTTATGTTGGCCTTTCAATTGAGTTTAGGCTATGAATTGGAAATACTTAAATTCATATAGCATGGGTCTAATCTATAGCCCTACCTTCAAGTGAAAGACCCTTCACAAACCTTTGAGAGCCCTATTACAAAAAGACCAAAGTACAAAACTTTTGAAAACCTGCAAATGAAATAAAGGGCTCATGAAAGGCCGATGATGTTGACTGGGCTTATGGCCCAACCGATCGACCTATTAAAAAATGAGAAAAATAATAAATAAAAAAGTTAAAAAATGTAATATTTAAAATTAGGCAGCTAAAAATTGAAAATGACAAAAAGTGAAGTAGTGCATGATATGGTATTTTATAAACATAGTTAAATGACTAAAATGTCATAGATTAACAGGTTTTGAACTAGTAATAATTAGTGTAAAATAAAAAATGACAAGAAACGTATTAACAATTACAAGTTATTTATTAATAAGTTGTGAATTTATAACGACAAGTGTTGAACAATTAATGATAAGAAATATACTAATAAATACAAATTTGATGGTTTTTATTCAAATTTGATATAAGGACATTTTAGTTATTTAACTACGTTTGTAAAATACCAGATTAGATACCACTTTATTCTCTTCTCTGTCATTTTCAACTTTTAAATATCTAAATTAGGGAATGATAATTTCATGGTTCTTTTTCTAGAATTTTTTCTTGAAAAGGTGTAGGATGGATTGGTAAAATGAAAAACCCACATTAAAGAGATGTTTAGAAAATATGATCAATAAACAATGAGCTTGAGTTTGGTGGAAAGGGGCGAGTTAAGATTCAAATCTTTATTAGAAAAAATGCTAACATTTAATGTTTTATAATACTTCATATAAAATTACTTTTAAAAGGAAATAGGAATAATATTAACTAAGTAGTTGCAAACAAACAATTTGGAGAAGGAAAGTGTTGTTCGACCAGAGAGATATCAAACTTTAAAGAAGTCCAGAATCTTCATAAATTACTGGGAGAATTATAATGAGACAAAACAAGTATTAAGGTTGTCATTTTTTACTCTGAAAATTATCATTACAAATTATTTATATTATTATTAAAAAAATTTAGTAATTATTTTTTTTTCAATCTTATTGTAATTCTCCTCGAATTATTTGGTGAGAAGTTTATAAACTCTGTACAATAAAATAATTGCTGGGCGAAAAAAAACAAGGTGTGGAAATTGCGTGCCCCCTAGCAAGGGCGTGAGGACGCGCTGCATTGGGGTGGGGCGGACGACTGCGGCAAATTTCGGAAGTGCATACTGAAGGGAAGAAGACATTGGCGAGGAACACTGGCGTGCACCATCGGCGGTTCACAAGCACGCTTTAGCATAATCTCCATCAATGATGATGGAACCACCAAAATGATTGGGTGGAGCACCTAATCCCAACAGCCATTGACAAAAATCGCCACGTTAGCACAAGCATGATCCAATGTTTTTTGAAAAATGCGATTAGCGATTAGCGAATAGTGATTACGAGTCTCTGGCCCCCGCCCACGCCCCCCCCCCCAAAAAGAAACAAAAAAAAAAGTGGAGAATCGCGATTACTTTTTTTTTTTTTTTTTGGGGAACCACGATTCCTAGACTCAATTAACGGAGGAGCGAGAATAATCACGCTGCCGCTGTTCGACTCGTCGGATATCACAAACGAATCACTTTTTGGCGGTGAAAGTTGTCATTTTGAGCTTGTTTTGATTCATCGATTTATTTGGAGCGACGGCGATCTCAGATTCAATCTTCAAATCTTCAAATCTCTGCCCTTTTCGAAGAAAGAGAGATAAAGTGGGCAATGGTGGGATGAGGATAAAGAAGAAGAGGGCAAGCGACAGGGCTATGGCGAGAATTGAGTGGGCTCTTCAAGGAAGAGGAAAGTGGGTTTGTTCGTACAAGAAAACCACCATCATAGTTTGCTTTTTCAACATTGCGATTGCTCTCTACTTTCTTCGCACTCTTTATGCCTCTCTTTATATCTACTCCGGAAACGTTTCGCGAAACAGTAAGTATTAATCTCAGGATTGGATTTGGTTGGCCAAAAAATAGGCGGGGATTAGATTTTGTTTTTTTTTAAATGACATTTACATTAGTGATTGTCGATGTTTTCTGTTCTGCCCCCGTGTTTCCCCTAATAGAGTAATGTATTGAAATAGGTTTCTGCTTGAAATTTTGTGATGGATTTCACTCTTTCCACCTAAAAGTTGGCCTCTGCTTAAGTGGGTTCCGTAACTTTAAACCCACTCCTGCTTTGGATTAACAGCGGGCTCAACTTTTTTGGTACTGAAACTCCAAATTCCTCCATTCGATTTAATTTTGAATTTATTGTCTTTCCAGTTGTCCCTTATACCTCGGATCAGATTCAGAAAATGGAAGAATCAATCCGAATCCGTAAGGCATATAGACCCCAGGAGCTGGTTAAATGGGTAAGAACCATTTATGCTTAGCTCCAGCTATCACTTCCTCATGAATTGAACAGAAGTTAATGTATTATAAAACCGTTGTCCCAAAGGTGAAGGCACTAGAAGGGGAGTTATCAAGGGATGAGAGGGCGTCTCAGTTGCCTCAGCATTTAAGACAGAAAATAACGGATGATATATTGCAGAGGTTGAGGAGCTTGAATTCTAGCGGCACGAACACTACCCAGAAAGTTGCCCTGGAGCGAGGTCAGTGCATGCCTGTAATTTTGCTGGTGCGAATATAATATTTCTACCTTTCTGAACCTTGATAGGCATTTTAGTAACTTCGTTTTACTACGAAGGTTGGAATAACATTAAAGAATGTCAACGGCTATCTTTTTTTACCCGGGCCAAATTCAGTTGCCATGGGTGGGATGCAGAATTTTATTATCATGTGCTTATGTATCACTAGTGTAAATCTCGAGTCGAAAGAATAAGATTATTGTTGAAAAGTACATATAGAATATGCTCATTTTGAAATTGGTAGAAGTTGATGCTTTGAACTGGACTTTCGATGAGTTGTCTTCGTACTGAGATTGTTGACATTTCAAACGTTAGACACTTTCATAGCACGCATTTTCCTTTTGGGAGGAGCAGGGTTGGTTGGTTGATTGTGTGGGAAGAAGAGGATTCAAGCGTGCACCACATAACTACTGCATGGACATGTTAACATTTTTCTTCCTTGCTAGCTTCTTTATTAGATGCAAATTTTGTCGTTCAAGAATTAACCTAGCTATGCCAAATTTAAGAGGACTTCATACTAGCTCTGTGTACGTCTCAGGTCGGGCTAATATAAGGAAAAACATGCTTAGTGAGGAAATGCTCTAGTAAGGAACATCAGCAGCCTTTCTTCATTATAATTTGAACTCAAGCAGAGATTCTTTGATTTGGTTGAAATTTAGTCTTCAATCTTTTTTAACCCCCGTCTTCTTCTTCTTTTTTTTCTTTTGCCCCGGGGGGGGGGGGATCATATGATTTAGTTTGAAACACATTCCTGATATTTCATATAGTTGGATTTAAGGTGATTATTAACTTCGTATTACAGTAGATAACATACAAGTTTTGT